CCGGATTTCAGGGTGAGCTAATGCTTCTAGCTTGGACTGGATCTTCCTCTTCATGTCTTGATGCCTTGAACTTCCGGCATGGACTAGCTTTTTACTTATTTTAGCTTCTTCGATGCTCTTAGATTAGTAATTTGAGGATAGATGTTCTTGTGATGATGACTTCCAGATTTTGGGGATAATAATAGTTGTCGAGTTTTTAGAAGTTATTTAATTGATTTCCATTAATGAGTTTAAGTCTTCCGCATTACATTGTGTTATTATATTCGAAATGTTGGGTTTTGTATTGATTGGTTCGCTCACATAGGAGGGTAAGTGTGGGTGCCAGTCGCGGCTCGATTTGGGTCGTGACAATTATTTAAATGTATATTAGAATTTGACATATTACGTAGTTTTTCCCTTTTTATATGTGCGCCTGCCTTTATTTGATATCTGGACAACTGGAAAGGGCCTAAATGGTTGAAATTTCTGTCGAGCGTGAAATCTGCATTCGAGTTTGGTTATAACCATTTTTATTTATTTTTTGAGAAAATTCATAAATATGTTATTTACTAGAAATGACTACACTTTATGTCAATTTATTATTGCATGCTGTATTAATTTTTTTTATTTTATTGTTATTATTATTATTTATATGTATACAATGCACTAAATAAGGTATGATATGTTACCATAACTTCCAAGTACCAACCATTTATTATGTTCCTAAATAACTGAAATTTCCATTATTAAATTACCAACTAATAATTATATATTGTATGCAAATATGATTGATTCATATAATACAAAAGGTTGTATTTATATTCCTAATACAATATATTCACTAAATATTAATCATAAAGGTATTCATAATATTTTGAACATAAAAGTTTATTCATGTCTTTTTTCGTTGTATTTTTGCATATGTTTTTATTTTTTATTTATTTATACACTAATACAATTGTAATTACAATAACTAAATAAGAAAAATGTATTACTTGTACAATTAGCATATGAAGACTTTGAATTCAAATTGGTGTTTCTATTTATAAAACTTAAAGTATTAATGTATCAAGGATACAAGTATTTATAAAAATTTAATGTATTAATATATCAAACAAGGTAAAGTAGTACAATTTTAGAATATGAATACAACAATTTGAAAAATGGATACACTATTGTTAACCCAAAAAAAACACCAATATAAAATGAAAAAAAAAAAACAATAGAATGTGCATGTATCAAATTGTGTAAGTATGTGACTATATAAAAAATTAAAAAACCAACAAAACGTTGATCTATTTTTTGTAAAGTTTTCTATAATACTTGAGACTTGACGTTAATTTAGGTATTTATTTATAAAAATATAGTACTGATGTATCCAACTATACTAGTATTGCCTAATCAAATTGGATAAATTACTTATGTATTTAGATATATTTGTATTCACAAATCACTATTTTATTAATATTACAATTCAACTATCTATTTATATAAGTATTATTAAATATAAACATTTGACATTTGATTGAACCACAAATATAAGTATGAATATAAGTATAATGAATTGAACCACAAAAATCACTCCTACAATCATACAAAAGGATCTTGAATTGGAAGAAATTGAAAAAAATATAAAAAAAAATATGTAATATAAGGATATTGATGAAAGAGAAGGTATGAATACATAATTAATTATGAGTTTAATAATAATTTTCCTATTTATTATTTATTTATATTAAATATAAAAAGTTGATTATTGATATATAATTATATTTGCTATTTATTGTATAGTTACAGTCATATAACATGAAAAAATTAAACTATAATTATATTATTTAAATGTATATTAAAATTTGACATATTACGTAGTTTTTCCCTTTTTATATTTGCGCCTGCCTTTATTTGATATCTGAACAACTGGAAAAGGCCTAAATGGTTGAAATTTCTGTCGAGCGTGAAATCTGCATTCGAGTTTGGTTATAACCATTTTTATTTATTTTTTGAGAAAATTCATAAATATTAAAGAAATTAAATATAATTAAGCTTCATAGCTATGGTTTATTTAATTATGTGTTATAGTTATAATTTCGTTTGTTATATATATCTCCGTTTATAGATTTTGTTTACAATATACAAACAATTCTTTATTTATACAGTTAGAAATTTTTCAAAGTTTTGTTTGTATATTTCGCTTGCCGTAAGAATTTTTCAAAACTTTATTTGTATATTTTATTCGTCAATATACAAATTAAACGTATCAACAAATTGTATACAAATAGCTAGGGTAAGTATATACATAATTTAGATCTACAATTAAGAACCGAATTATAAAAAATCTTGATTTATACAACTAGAAACAAAATAGCAAAATTTAAGAACAAAAATATCCAAATTGTAGCTATGGAACGTAATATACTATTATTGTTTGTCATTTCACGTAATATTCCTTCTTCTTCTTCTTTTTTGATAATTTATAAAAATCTAGTGTATTTGGGCTAATTACATCATATCCCGAATGATTCTCCAATTATAAAAATCTCAGATTTTCATTGTTGTTGGATACATTTCTTGGTTGTCTAATACATTAAAAATGATACATTACTTAATGAGAGAAATGCATCAGAGAGAGGATAGAGATATATCCGAGAGGGACATAAATAAATCAAAATTTAACCACAAACTTATCATCAGAGAAACCTCGAAAGTCAAAAATCAAAATTTGTTATACTTAAAACTCTTGCTCCTAACGCAAAACGAGGTAGAAATTCAAAATCACCCCCCTCTAGACTATTGTCGTAAATCAACAAAAAAAAAAATCACTGTTTTCTTTCTCCTTGCTTATGTAACTAGAATTGATTTCTTTAAAGACCAATTAAAAAAAGAAAGAAAAAAAAAAGACTAAATACCCAATATATATAAAATTTAACAATAACGGTCAACATCATGGAAACCTAATCCAATTTATTCAAATCCAATAAGATTTTTTGGTTTCTTATTATGAAACATACATCATACACAATTATTACATTAAATAATATTCGTGTAACACGTTGAAATTTTACTGATCATCATAGTACACATTATTGGCCCTCACCAAATGACGAATATCCATTGGATAAGAATCAGACGGTAGAAGAGCTCTGTAAGCTCTACTCGTAGCTATATTATTTCCAATTTCAGTGGGATGGAAATTATCATAAAAAAAATGTGTAGCCCTAAACAGACATGGAGATTTTCCTGGAATACATTGTCCTTCAGGCATAGTTTTAGAAATTTGACAGCATGGATTATTCAATAGAGTTATAGCTGCAAAATGAAAACAAACAGTAGTCCGCTTCGATTAGCCAATTAAAATTTATTTATTTGACCAGCTTATAAGGTTAGTAAAAACACTTACCAATCGCTGATGAGATGCTATACATGTTTATGTATATGAATTTTGCATCTGGGAAATTAGTATTGAGATCATCAACAAGAGCTTTTAAGTTTTTGTTGAATAATTGAACTGCTTTATTTGTTGAATCCACACAAAAAATTGTGCTGTGTTGGTTCAATTGATCTGGAATGCAACCTATTTGAGGTAGTCCAAAAAGTGCTATTTTCCTTGCTCCATCTGAATACAATTCCTATGGTACAAACAAAACTAGTAAAATATATTAAAGAAATATGTTTCGTACGAAGAAAAATATTTTTCACCGAACCTTTAATTGTTGGGAGTACTGCTGAATGAGAAGTGTTGCATACTGACTTGGTGAGTACAAATGACTTGATTGGTATACATCTGGCATTAGAAAATTATTGATGTAGTCATTGCTGCCTATTCCAACAATGAAAAGACATTTATTTAAGTGATTTTTGGCTGAAGTTGCATTTCCTAGCAAATCAGCAATACGAGAAATTGTGACTTTATGATTCTCCAATTGTTTGCCCAAGTAAATCCGATAACCCTGAAAATTAATTGTATATATAAATCTATCAGTAAGTATCAGATGATTTTATTTTTATTTTAATATATAGTAGTGGTTGATATAAAATATACAATAAAAAGTAAATCGTACGTACGACTATTGATTAATTAACTATTTAACTACACTTATAGGAGGGGGTGTCAATTGTCATGATCTAATTTTGTACTAATTAAACTATTAGAAAGTTTAATAATATTATATTCTAATCTTGAACCTTGTTTTATTTAAATGCACGACAGAGGAATGATTAACTAATCATAGAATAATATATGTATTTCATCTATTTGCTTTTATTTTGTCGAATTTTGTTTTGACCCTACCTTAAAATAAATTAAACAATTTGGTACGAGTATAGTTTACTGATGTTTAAACGTGATAAGTTCAAATAAAAATAATTTTTTTAATATAATAAACTAAGTAAAGGTGAAAAAAGAAAGTATCATATAATACTTTGTCATTCATGACTTTTTAGCTCCAATAATGCAATATGTAAAGTACTTTGACGTGATTAAGCATTTTGCTGATTAGACAAATCAATATATATGGAGAAAAGTCTACTAGTATTAAGTGTCCTTGAGTAATTAGTTGGTTTATAATGTTAGATATCATATTATTGCTTCTCTAAGATTATTAATAAGAATAAAATATTATATATGCAACTTATAAACATTTCAAATATTTAACTTGACGTGTTTAGAATTTTTGAACTCACAATTTATAGGATTTTGGATTACCAACAAATTATATGTATGTCTACTATAAGCGTAAGATTCGATACTACTATTTGATTCTATAAATTATATGTATGTCTACTGCAAGCGTAAGAATCGATACTACTATTTGATTCTATCGAACTTACTCATTATACTAAAAATAAATATCACATAAAAATTACACTATACTTACAAGATGACTTCCCGTATCGTTTCGAATTCCAGCTGAACCAGATGCATAATTCACACCTTCCAAAATCTCATCACCCGTTGCGCTTGCAAAAGATGGTATGTAGTGATCAAAATCAAGGTGTTCAGCTATATTTAACAAAATAAAACATAAGTTAAAGGATATAAAAAATAATTAAGTTAAAACTAATCAAATTGCTATGCTAAACAAGACAAATAATAAAAGGAATAAGGCACAAGTATTTCCTACACTATGATCGAAACCTCAGAGACACACATTAATTAAACTAAGATCCTATTACCTCTGAACTTTTTTTTAAAAATTTTTGTACACCTATAGTCTTACGTGACACACTCCGTAACTCCACGCAATTGAGACGCGTGAGAGATATAAACCAAAAAGGTTCACACAATTTTTTTTTTTAAAAAAGTTCAGGGGTAATATGACCTTAGTTTAATTTGTTAAAGTGTGTCTGTAATTTCGATGGATACTTATATATTTTCTCGATACATTAATGAAATAATAATCACACGCTTCAACGAAACGTAAATCATAAAGCGGCAAAGAAAAAGTGAGAAAGAGAAAGAGACCTAGGAAGTCAGCTATATTTCGGCCATTGGTGAATCGGCCAGTCGGACCATCCGGGAAATCAACTCCATAAGGTGGATAATTAGCCCTAGCCGCGGTGTCAAGGTCATTATTATTGCCATTATCAAGTAACGAATCCCCAAAAATGAAATAGCAAGGTACTTCCGGTGCACCTTCAACTAAGTTCAAAACTAAATATAACACAATACTAAATATAATTGTAACATAGCACGCCATTGAGAGAATTAAATTCAAGAAGAAGATGAAAAATATAATTGAGAAATTATTACTCAATTATAATGGTGTTGAATATTATGGTGAAGGTTGCATTAAAATATATAGGAAGAGGCTTTTATTGTTGAATATTTAATTTCATCATTATTTGTGGGGTAGCATATGGGGCAATTGACAAGATTTTGTTTGATACTTATTTTTTTTTTCAAAAAAGGTGATCATGAGGAGTGAGAGAATTTTGTATTGTACATATACAGGCCACAAATTTTTTTGTGATCACTGGCTTTGTATTACCAATGTTACCAATATAAAAATCGTAAAAATTTAAATGTTTGTGTCTAGATTCATGTTCTTTTAGTTATTCTAGGTGCTTATATTATCCAATATATTTTATATTCAAGATGTAAAAATATTTCATAGGTGTTAGAGTTGTTTTTGACGAGAGTAAAGTGAGTCCGAAGCCTAAAGGGTAAAAAATGTTAACAAAAATTCTAAAACGGTAAATGAAAATTCTTTTTAATTAAAAGGGCAAAATCGCTCGCGAAGTAGCGATTGTGTCATTGGAAAAAGCAAAATCGCTGCTATAACCGTATAACAGCGATTTTGTTAAATTTGATTTTTTTTAAAAAAAAAAAATTAAAACAAAATCCAATTTATTTTTTATAACTTTTTTAAGTAAACGACATAACCTTAAATTATTTTTATTTTTTTCTTCTTTTATTTTAAAAAAGTTTAAATAAAAAAATTTTAAAAATTAAATCGCTGCAATTTTTAATTAATTTTTTTAATTTATTTTTAAAAGTTAAATCACTAAAAGAAATTGATTTAAAATCGCTGTCCTGGCAGCGATTTAATTTTTTTACAAAAATAAAAAATTTTAATTAAAAATCACTACCTTGACAACTATTTGATTTACAAAAATAAAGAAAAATTGATTTAAACTTTTTTTATAAAAAAAAAAAGTAAAAAATATTAATTAAAAAAAAATTAAACATAAGTTGCTGCCTCAGCAGCAACATATAAAAAAAAGTATTACAAAAAGATTTTTATTTTGAAAGTCGCTCCCGATGGAGCGATTTTGTTTTTATTTATTTTTTTTTAAAAAAAAGGGAATTTAACAAATCTCTTTTATAGCAGTGATTTTACTTTTTTCAGTGGACAAAATCGTTACTTCGCAAGCAATTTTGCCCTTTTGGTTAAAAAAAATTTATATACCATTTTGGAATTTTTGTTAACATTTTTTACCCTTTAGACTCCAGACTCAAAGTAAAGTTTCAAATATTATTAGCTTAACGGAGGAAATTTCAAAAATAACGAATATATAGATTGTTATATATATACACACGCGCGATCGTCTGTTTGAATAATGTTACAAACTAAACAAAAGAAGATCTGCGAAGACACAAAAAAATATTTTTTAATTCGTTTGTTTGAATAATTTCACTAAAAAATGGAAGAAGATCTGCAGGTATAAAAAGTAGAAAAAGTTCTTAATCATGTGTGTGATAATTAATTTTTCTAGAAATCTATCTGGTCTTCTTTAAGCATTAAGCACTAGTACTACAAGCTAATTAATAAGTGGGGTACTTATTCATTGGGCTGCTATAATGATTGAGGCTAATAATGTGGCTGATTTTTTAACAACTAAGCTTTTCCACGTGAAAAATGATTATTTTTTTTTCCTGTTTATCTTTTTATAGTTATTTTTAATTACTTAATTATTTTCATTAATTAAGAAATGTCAAACATTTTTATCTATTATGTCCTCAACTAATTATTCTGAAAAAAGATTGTTTTTTGAAAATTTTAAATTTTTAACTCACCTACTTCATAATTAATAGAAATAAAATGATAAATATATTATGTCAATCATTATTTTCTTAATAGATATGTCAATTTAAAAGTAAACAAGTATTTAAAAATAGAAAGAAATACTATATAGATGGCAACGCCATAGCATTAGAAAATAATATACTCTCTTCGACTTAGTTTCTGTGACACGTTGTTTCTTTGTCTTCTAGTTCACTTTCAAAAAATATTATTTGAAAATAAATTTTGAAAAATCAAATTTCGAATTTAAGTTTTATCCTTTATAAAAATAATTTAAAGTTATATAAATAGTCGAGCAATAATTTAGGATATAAAATTTTCTTTTAACTGAAGCGATTCATTTAAATAAACAATGCCCAAATTGACAAGACAGACCCTGAAGTCGCCGGAAAAAGAAAACTAAAGGAAACATACCGTCGTTAAGAAAGTTTCCGATTAAGAAAAGTTTTGACTAAGTCAAGTCAAACCTTTTAGTAATTAGAAAACTAAGACTGTGTTCTGGATTAATCTAAAAGTTGATCAAACTTAAATTGACACTCCAGCTAGCTTTTGGTGAGTTTCCTTGTATATCGGAGAACTCCCCTTTCTTTCAATTTAGGGTGTTATGGGTCATGTCTCAACATCTATGTTGAATTATAAAAGCTTCATAGATAGACGGTTAATGAATCTCTCGGTACTTTCTTTACCTTTTAGATGTTTTGCAAATGAATTAATATTGCATTGAGTTTTGTTTTCAAATAGTATCAGTTGAGCATTTAATAATTTTAATGATTTACTTTTGTTTTAAGCCCTTAAATGCTTGAGTCAGTCAGATTAAGGATTCGCTTGGGACCAATAATTGTTCTCGAATATCGATCACGTCTAGGGTGTAGGATCGAACCGTGACACTTAATTTGTCTAATGGACTTTAGTTTGAATCAAACATATTTTAAATAAGGTAAAACTCTTTGTATATAATTCTTTGAGATGCTTTTTTTAGACATTTTAAACTCAAACTAATTAGGTTATCAAATTAAATTTTAAAATAGATTGCCATAACTTTGAGTATTTTTCAAAAGGTAACAATTTCTACAATATTTATGATTTAGATCTATTTTATAATTATAAGTAATACAATATATTATACAAGTAAAAAATGATACCCTAATAAGAATATTTAATCAAGTAAAATCTTCATTGTATTTTAAGCACTTCTAGAATAGTTTGTTAGTTTAGGTAAAAATTAACTCAACTGAAAATGTTTTTAAAATTATAATCAATAAGAACTTATCTAAAATTTAAACATTTGTGGTGTTATAAAATACACAATAATTTATATATGTCTATCCAAGTCTTATTGGACAACTTTCTTTTATGGAAAGAACTTGAAAGCACACAAATAAGAAACTAGAAACCATACAGAGAAAAAAGTGTAGACCACAAAAAAAACATACTAGAAAATAAATTTTAGGGAAAGAACATGAAAGCACACAAATAAGAAATCATGACACGAAAAGAATAAAGATAGACTATAACGAACTTACATTACAAAATTATAGACAATATACTACGTACAATCATATAATAATAAAGAAATTCTAAAATGAAAATTAAAAAACATATACAACTAAAGACTTATATCACAAAATCATATAACGAAAAGAATTACTATATACTTATATCACAAGAACATAGACAATAAGTATACTACACTAGTAAAGATTAATAAAAATATGAAGATGAGTCTTTACATTAGAAAGGAATTTGTGTATAAGAGACTTGCAAGACTCTGGTTGTACGTCAACCGCCACCGGCGCTGTGAGACTGGTGGAGGTATCAACCACTTCGGGATTGAGCCAAAACCTGGATAGTTTTAATTTGATTTTGATTTGCGACGTTTTAGCCTTCTATTGTGAATTGTGTGCCTAAGAATCATCATTCGAAATCTATTGCAGGCGTCTTTACTAAAAAACTCTTTCCTGAACAAGACATATTATTCTTTTCTTTGAACCACGAAATTATCATACTTAAGAAAAATGAGGAATCGGCTTAGAATAAAGAATAACTTTCAGGCAACCAAATCATGAAGTCGGAGGAAAAATAAGGAAACATATCGACATAAAAAAAGTTTTGAATTTAAAAACTTAAGTCAATTTATTTTTTTTAAAATAGTAGAACTTTTTAAAAATTTTAAAATTTTAATGACTTATTTTAGAAATACTTTTCAATATGACTTATTAAAAAAGTGCTTTTGGAAAAAAAATTCTTTGTGGTAAGCTAATTCATTTGAAACTATTTTGATAAATAAATCGTGTTTAACTATATTTTTAAAAAAGTATTTTTGAGAATTAAATTGCAAAAGCCTAATTCATCAGTGGTCACTTAAAATTGACATTATTTTTTTACTTAGACACCTTAATTGTATCTTTTTCATTTTAGACACCTTATATCATATCAGTATATCTATTTGACAATTTTCGCTAATATGTCATAGTGATTATATCACAGCCACTTCTAACGTGTGAAGAACTTATTTAATTAATTTTTATTTTATTTTTTCTTCTTCTTCCCTAAATTTTAATCACCATCTCCCGAAACTTAAACTCCTTTCATGGAGAAGTAGATTCAATAGGGCTAATTAGTTAAAACAAAAAGAGCTAAAATTATAATAGATCAAATTATAATTAATTTGATTATGAAAAAAATATTAAACCGGCAGTGAAAACAACGAAGGAAGATTGAACGAAATGAATCTTGCGTGAATAAAGAACGGACCATAAACTCGAAAAGAAGAATTTAAATGAGAAGATGATTTGGATGGGTTCGGGTGGTGGGGAAAATGATTTGGTGGAGGAGGAGTTGGGATCGGGTGGTGGGGAAGATGATTCGGGTGGGGGATGGGCGGCCGAGGGGTTGGGGATCCGAGGGTGGGGGTGTTGGAGAAGATAATTTAGGTGTGGGTTGTGTATTAACTTTTTTTGAATTATTTGTATTTAAAATTTGACACATTTCATTGACGGATTGACCCTTTATTTTCTATTCAAAATTTATTATTTAATAAATATGTCACATATCTTCATTTAATTTATCAGTTTGATACATTATCAGCGTGTGTGTTACACATGCCTTACATGCTTATTCATTTGGTTGATTGTCAAAAAATGTCGAAAAATAACATAGTGGGGCATTGTATAAGGTGTCTAAAATGAAAAAAAAAATCTATTTTAGATGTATAAGTAACAATTGGTACCAACTTTAGGTGGCCACCGATGAGTTAGGCCAATTATAAAAGAAACTATAATTATAAAAAAGAAACTATTTTAAATATCTATTGCAAAATTTCTAATTATAATTTTATTTTAATTGATAAAATGTACATATTCAAACATGAAATTATACAATATAGAAATAACTTACCTTCTAACCAACTATCATACGAGCTATGTAAGAGTTTTTCACCCGATATGTATATGAGTTAACTTTTCTAAAAATTATATCCAATTTTATAAATTATTGATCTTGAATTTTTGACCACCATTTAATTGAGAAACTTCCAAAGTCAAGAATCAAAATCTGTTACACCTAAAATCTTGCTCACGAGGCAAAACGAGGTTTGAAAATTCGAAACCATCCGCCTCCAAACTATTCTCGTAAACCACTCAAAATTTTTACTGTTTTCTTCCTCTTTGCCTGATGTAACTAGAATATTCTTTAAAGATCAATCAAAATATAATTCAATTTATTGAAATTCAATAAAATATAACCACTAGATTTGATTTCTTATTGTAAAGCATACATCGTACACAAATATTACATTAACTACTATCTGTGTAATACGTTGAAATTTACTGATCATCATAGTACAAATTGTTGGCCCTCACCAAGCTAAGAATATCTATTGAATAAGAATCAGACGGTAGAATAGCTCCGTAAGCTCTATTTCTAGGAAAATTTTTAGTATGGTAGAGGTGCAACAAACAAAAGTATTATTCAATTATATTCAAGCTTAAAATAGTATACTTATCAAAATCAAATTTATCTACTGTTTTTTTGGAGTTTGAAGTAGAGGAGTCAAAATGGATTGGTCCAACCCAACTCTAACGGGCTAGAGAGTTAAATGAGTTGGGCGGACTGACTCTTTTAATTAAAGGGCCAATAAAATAGCGGTCCAATCCAGTCCTAAGCGGGCCATGGGTTGGGACGGGTGGACCCTTCAACCAAAAAATAAACAATATTTATCTCTTAGAAAGAGTATCGAATGTTGATGTCTATGAACACAACATCAATTCATACAAAAATTTATTTGTAAATCACACACTTCGATGAATACTTACAAAAATACATTTATGAATCACACACTTTGATGAATACTTAAAAAAAATACATAATAGCCAAAGTAAGATTTAGCGGATAAATGTTGATCATTCCATCAATGCTCCCACAAAAAACTACCTTGGTTAAAAGATTTTCAGCAACACAAGACAGATAAATACTTGACAAATCTAAAACTCTAAATATTATGACTCATTAATTAATGTTTTACAACTCTGCTTCTACTTCCACCATCGATCACATTTGAATCAACATGTGATATTATTTCCTTCAGAAGTTCATCTTCATCTACAATTCACCCTGCAAGATGATATTTCAACATAATTAATTTTTTATTTTTCAAAATATTTATTCATAAAATCTTTACAAATAAAACACTATTAAAAATAGATATAAAAATATTTTAAAAAATTAATAGCCCACGGGCTGGTCTTAGAGGCTTGGGGGTTGGACCTACGAGGCCAACGAGCTAAATAGGACGGGCTAAAAAGCCTCGTTCATAAATGGGCTAAATAAATTAAGCCCCACCCCCTTATTTTAAGGGTTGAGTTGGGCTGATTTCGCGGGCCATGCCCATTTTGACGGCTCTACTTTGAAAGGATTCCAAATCTGGTTGGACTTCTATTTAAAGTTAAAGGTTGTTGAATCATTGAATATAATTAATTGTGAAGGAAAATCAATGGAACATCATTTTTGAAGTAGAAGAATTTCACATTTTTCGCATCTCAATTTCAAAATTTGAGAACTTAAGTTTGTAGGTTACCCATGATAAACTTCGTTTGAAATTTTTTTTTGTACTTAAATTTAGGTTTACTTACTAATTTGGGTATGTATTTAAAGGAAAAGTAAATTCACCGTGAGAGGATTTTACCTTTAAAGAAGCTTGAAGAACACTCTATGTGAGAATTAAGGTTTTATTTCTTAGTTTAATGGTGTTCTTTTTTGTGGGGCACGTTCAAAATCGAATCGAAACTGATAATTCGAATCGAAAAAAAGTTATTGGGTTATTTTGTTAGCGGGTTAACCAATAACAAATTAAATAGTTATATATATATACCATTTTGTGTATAAATTCTCTTACTTATACTTTGGTTTCCCACTTTTATTTTTGGTTATCTCAAATGCTTGGTTATTCTACAACGTAAAACTGTTTGTTTTTTGAGTAAAATGTAACTTGTGAACTCATGTGCATGATTTATTTGGTTTATCACCTTGTTTCTTAATAATTTTTAATATTTTTTTTGTATGTCAAAACCGTTAAATCGATAACCGAACCGTTAATGATCAAAACTGATAAAAAAATACCTGATAAACAAATATCTTGACGGTTCGTTAACGGTTTAACATATCTACAAATCGATAACCAATAAGTGAAACCGATAAACTTTAAAATCGAACCGAATCGATCGTAGCCCTAGGGGCAGTTATGGGTTTATTTGGTGGATCCAAATTTGGATTGGAATTTGATTAGTTTCGGTGAATTCTAAACACACTAATAAAATCATGCCACGTAATAAATGATACATGTAATAATATTTTAAAATGTGTCCGATCATACAAATAAGGGCATTTCAGGGCTCATACGTACGAAGGGTATATCTTGTAGCCAAATGTGGGAACAAATTAGAAAAATCCCAAAATAGGCAGATCATAAGTTCAACTTATTACACGTATATATTCAATCAACTAGCGAAACACCTGAGTTCATTACTCATCATACACAACATTGTTCGTCCTGATCAAGTGATGAATATCCATAGGATAAGCATCAGACGGTAGAAGAGCATTATAAGCTCTGCTAGTCGCGATTCTATTGGCAATCTCTGTTGGATGAAAATTATCATAGAAAAGATAAATCCCTCTAAGAAAGCATGGAGTTTCTCCAGGAACACATTGTCCTTCAGGCATCGTTTCCAAAACGTTACAGCATGGACGAGTAAACACGCTAAGTGGATCTGAAATATGAACAAGTAAAAAATAAATTATGTCACAGAATATGTCATTAGAGGAAAAAATAATGTTTGAGTACCATACCGATGATTGATGAAATGCTGTACATGTTTATATAGGTGAACTTCGCGTCTGGAAAATTAGTATTGAGATCACCTACAAGAGACTTTAGCTTGCTGTTAAATTGTTGAATCGCGTTATTTGTTGAGCTCACACATCTACGTGTATCGTGTTTTTGTAACTCTGCTGGAATGCAGCCTATTTGGCCTAGTCCAAATAAGGCAACTTTCCTTGCTCCATCTTCATACAAAGTCTAATCAAAGAGTATAAGTAGAAAAAAAAGTATTATTTCTAAACTTTAGACTGTAATTTAAAATTATTGGTAAATGGATTGGAGTTGTAACGTACCCTCAAATGTTGTGAATATTGATCAATCAAGGCAGTTGCATATTGTGTTGGTGTATATAAATGACTTGAGGGATATATTTCAGGCATCAAGTAATTGTTGATGTAGTCATTGCTGCCTATTCCAACTATGAATAAGCATTTATTCAAGTGCTTTTGAGCTGAAGTTGTATTCCCCACCAGATTAGCTATACGCGAAATTGTTGTTTGATGATTCTCCAATTGTCTGCCCAAGTAAATCCGATCACCCTGGAAAAACGAAGAAGTTACTTATATTTTTCTCATTTACGAGACATTTTTTTGCATTGGATGAGTGAAATGTAGCATATGTATAACACACTACACTTACAAGATGACTTCCACTGTCGTTGCGAATTCCAGCTGAACCAGATGCATAATTTACACCTTCCAAGATCTCGCTATCTTTTACACTTGCAAAAGGGGGAATGTAGTGATCAAATCCCAAGTATTCCGCTGCAAACATGGAGAAAATCGAGTCAATTATATGTGTATAACGGAGATGAGTTTTGGATCTAAATCAATCCAGAAAGCTAGGCTGATCATTAGGTATGATTTGACTAAGATCAACTAGCTGTGTATGGAGATTACGCTATAAGAAAACTGTGATTTACATGAGGATTTTCCTGGGAATTAGTATGAAAATTTGCAGGAAAATAAGTTTTCTGCGAATTGTCATATTAATCCCCATGTAATTCACAATTTTCTTATAGTGTTACAACATTCAACTCATTCGCAATATGTGAGACATCTATGGTCTCCCGGCTCACTAAACATCTGGTGCGTGGACAGTATAATACGTGGTGATTACCATATTAAGAAAATAAAAACTCAACTCAAAAGCAGAATTGCATGTTCAAGATTATATAATTAAATAGGAAATCAAAAGAAATGAAGATTTTTAGAAACAAGCTAATTAAGTAGTTGAGACTTTGAGACCTAGGAAGTCAGCCGTGTTACGGCCGTTGGTGAAACGGCCGGTCGGACGACCACCCTGGAAGTCCACCCCGTAAGGTGGGTAATTAGCCTTTGCCGTTGTGTTAAGTTCATTGTTGTTTCCATTATCAAGTAACGAATCTCCAAATATGAAGTAACATGGTACTTGTGGTGCACCTTCAACAAATGTTTTTAAGTTCAAAACTATAAATATTGTGGCAAATATCTTGCCATAACAAGCCATTTCAGGAGAATGAGAAAGAAAAATATATATTGGATTTTATGGAAGAAAAGAATTTTGGAAGTGATTGACGATATGGAAGGTGAAAGAGAAACTATATAAAGAAGCAAACAAGGAGTATATAATATAATTAAGATGCTAAATATTTAGACTAATATTTTTCAAAGCTATGTTTAGAACAAATCATTCAAACCCTACAAACATAAAAAGAGGAAATTTTCAATTTGTACGTGCTTAGCACCACTTTCAATGAATTTCCACATGGTTAAAGAATTTGCGAAAAGCAATCACACGTATGAATACAATAAGCTCATGCAATAATTCAATATATATATAAATTATTTTCCCCAGATTATAGGTTTACTTTCGTTTTTAGTCAGTAACACATTTCTATATTATTTTCTCTGTTTTTAATTACTTGTTCACTTTTCCTTTTTTAGTTATTACTAATTTACTTGTCAATTTTGATAAATCAAAAAAGAAAAAAATATTTTTACTTATTAAATTCTCAATTACTTTGAAAAAAGTACTACTTATAAATCTTAATTAGAAATGGAGTAAGTAACAATTTCTCTTAAAAGTTAAAACTCGTCCAAATCAAACAACTCACATATATAAATATTATATACCAAGAAAAGTCAACTCTAGCTATATTAACACATGATAAAGCGTTTCTACGAAGTTGATAATGCAACTTTAGCTTAATTTTTTTTCACTTTTGGGAAGGATTTTTATGTTACTACTATAAGCTAATATTCATCGCGATGCATGCAATATTAAAAAACAAAACAAAATCTAACCCATCACGCGCTCCTCTATATTGTTTACTTTCTTAGTCCATTTTCTAATGTTCATTATACTAAAAATATATGTCCAGTTTGAAATACATAGAACTAATTTATCATTTACATTTTATTAATAAATAATATTCATTTTCCAAAATATTATAATAAACTTCTCATTTATTAATTACATTTTTTTAAGGGATATATTATCAAGTTACATCTAAACAAGTAAAAAATAAACGAAAAGATAACTTTGAAGGATTAAAAGAAGTCGTCTATGATAATTTATTTATTTATTAGCACCAACAAGACATGACGTACAAATAGAATTTATTTGATTCTTTTTGGATGGTATTGATATCCATATAATACAAAATCATTGGTCAAAGCCATGTGTTTGGGATTTTTCTTTATTTGAAATCAAGGAATATTTACTAAATATTTTATAAAAGGGGAAAGGAATTTTGATTTAGACACCACCAACTCCTTGCAAGTTGCAACCCATTAAAAGAGAGCCCTTTTTATATACAAAAAACAATATTTGTACATATTTTTAAGTGCTCTTGCTGGTACATCAAAGTTGGACAATGAAAAATTAGTTGGCTACAATTTGTCAAGAAAGAAACATGTAACAACTCAAATTATCAACACCACAATGATATGTATTATAATCACTGAAATCACACAATGATGAAGAGGATGAGAGAAACAAATTTTCTTACAATACACATGACCCTTTTAACAAAACAATGGTACCTTTTAATCCTTTTGACTCTTAGCTTAAGAAGGATAGTATTAACGTAATTGGTAAAATTGTTGTCATCAGGCTCGCTGTCTGAGTCATTCATGGCTTAGGAAATGTAAAATGTAGAGACTATAATTCCCTCATCGAATATATGTTATAGGTGTACAATTAATAAATCAATCTAAGAAACAAAATCCGAAAACTTTCTAAATGGGAAGATCACAAGTAAAACTTATTGACCAAATGATGGATATCCATAGGATAAATCCTCCTGGGCAAGCATGGTGTTTCTCCAGGAACACATTGTCCTTCAGACATCGTTGTCAAAACATTACAGCATGGACGATTCAACACACTAATGGACTCTGAAATAAGACTAACAAAAATAGCCAATCCAATTATGTTAGAAGTCAAAGAATGATGTTTGAGTACACACCGAGGAATGATGAAATGATGTATATGCTTATAAATGTGAAGTTTGCATCTGGAAAGTTGGTACTAAGATCATCAACAAGAGAATATAGCTTGCTGTTGAATAGTTGAATTGCATTATTTGTTGCTCACACATCTACTTGTAGCTCTGCTGGAATGCAGCCTATTTGGCCCCAGTCCAAATAAGGCAACTTTCCTTGCTCCATCTTCATATAAAGTCTAGTAATAAGATAACAATCAGAATTTTTTTGTGAGAAATGGTGAACTTCATGCGTGATTCCAAAATTTTCGCAAGAAAAAAATTTAAATTTATGTTATGAATATAATGAGAGGCACAGAAAGACCAGTTCTGCTTTAATTTTAACAAAAATTCTCTCTGGAAGCCGAACCCTATGCTGCCTAGTTTCGCCGGCCGCTATTCTGGTCTCTGCCAACAATGGCTGGCCACCCCTTCCTGGTGGAGAGCCCCCTCCAATACCCTATACAACCCTTACAACATTCATATTTAAAATCCTTAACCTCTGAAGTTGCAAAACCTTCTAACCCTATTCCCATTAAAGACCTAATATATGTTCACGGAGAACCTACAGTGTTGTGGGAAGAAGAAGAAGTGGATAATATGATCATTTAAGAAGATTTACAATATGCAGTGATAGGAAAGTTTGCTTACGGTTGGCCAGAGTTGGAGAAAATTCGTAGAATTTTTCCTATTCAATGTGAGATAAAAGTAGATGGCAAAGTAGGTTTCTTGAGGGAAAGGCATGTGCTAATTCGCCTCACTAACTTGGAAGATTATGTGCACCTCATGTCAAAACCTGCTTACTTTCAAGGAAAAAAGATGGATATTATCAGACGAGACCATTAAAATGGAAGCCATGGTTCAATCCAGGGGCAGAAACAACCACTGCACTAGCATGGTTGTCTTCTCCTGCACTATCCCTCAATTCTTTTGTGAAAGAATCTCTCTTCACAATAGCAGACGCAGTGGATAAGCCATTACATGTGGATATGGATACTAAGAACAAATCTAGACCTAGTTGTGCCAAGGTGAAGGTGGAAGTAGATTTACTTAGAGAATTGCCCAAACGAATCAATGTTGGAATAAAAAAAGCCAACACTGGAGAAGCAGTTTCAAAGTGAATTATCATAATATACGACTATATGCAAAAATACTGCAAATCCTGCAAACTCCAAGGGCATAAAGAGACAGAATGTTATGGTCTTCACCCTGAGTTAGAACAAGTAATTGAGGATGAGGAATGCACGGAAGAGATACAACACAACATTCAAAATCATTAGAGGAAGGATCAAAAACATTATTGAGTGGTAAGGTAGTGGGGCCTCAAAATCAGAATCAAGATAATAATTATAACGATGAAGCAAAGAAAAAAGAGTTCATTAAAGGGAAAGGAAGACATCAGTGAAATCAATCAAGACAGGTATGGAAAGCAATGAAGGACATGCAAGTGTTCATCCCAAACAAAGGATGAAGGGATCAAGTAGAATAGGAAATAGCCACTCAAACTACAAATTCTTTTTGAGGTTTTGAATAAACAAATAGAGGAACCCAAGGAGAAAGATCCAGAGTTTGTACCATCGATATCTTGCAAAGAGTGGATAGAATCATCATCATTTGGAACGAATATTCAGAAGGATAGCAAGGAGCATGCAACTACAACATAGGCATCATTGGTGGAGCAAGATAATAATGCGCAAATAGTGAGTAGCAAATAACTGGCTAAAGATATAGCAGATATAATTGAGAAAAACATGGTGAATTTATTGAAGGAACAAAGACCAATAGGCCATAACTCTTCATTGGGAGGGAACAACAATGTCATTGCTGAGGATACATGCATCATAAATAAGGAAAAAGGATCAAGTATTGTCGACAAAGAAAATGTTGTAGAGGAACAAATGGAGAGAGATGTTATAAAGAAAGAACAAGAAGACATGAGAAGAGATCCCAAAACTCCTCCTGTGAGTCTTAGCTCACAAAAAAAGAATTGAGTCAGTCGAGGAGGATCAATAAGAATCAGTCACATATTTCACATGGTCAGGCAAGTGCAACATCAAATGGGAAGGAAAATTTTAACCTAATGGTTATAGGTAACAATGATAGGAAGGAGGAAGATGAAGTTGAATGGTACAAGAATCTGCAGATTTTATGGAGCAAACCAGCTCTATGGAGGGAATTAATACTCTTCAGGTGAACATTGAAAATTCTAAATTGAGAAAGAATACTAAAAATTGAGACAGGAGGTGAAGTTTCAATGGAGGCAATCGCCAATAATATAAATCAGATAGCAAGGGCCTTGGTTGCGCGAACTCTTCACTTTTGATGCCGCACCCGTCTCGGATTCTTCAAAAATACACTACTTTTGGAGAATCCGACACGCATCCGTAAGCATATTTGAAGAGTCCGAGCAACATAGGCAAGGGCTGCTGATCTATCTCCAAAACAAGTTAATTCTATTAAAGGAAGTAGTACCAATCAGAAAGGATGGAAAGGAGTAACAGAACAAACAGCTCCTATCAGACCATTATCTCAGAGACTTGCTGCCTCGAAGAAGTTCATTAAATATGATGACTAAAATGTTGTTTTGGAATATTAGATCAGTCAATACTCAATGTGCGTTTGATAGATTGACTAATCTTAATAGAAGAAACAAGTATTGGTTTATAGGCTTGATGGAACCTTTTCAAGATTCATCAAACATCGAAAACTCCAGAAGGATTCTGGGGCATCACACTTCCCTTGCAAATCGTACAGGAAAGGTATGGTTGTTTGCTAGAGAAGAATTGCAGATTGATATTCTAGTGGATTCAACCCAACATCTTACTAGTCGAGTTAATCATTAGAATTGGAGGAAAGAGATTTCGACTACTTTAGTTTACGCTGCTTGCAACATTAACACGAGTAGGGATCTTTGGACCTCTTTAGCAGATATTGCTGAACATCATCCACTTCCCTGGCTAGTAGAAGGAGATGTTAATACAATTTTATCTAGAGAAGAAAAGCTGGTCTATCAGTTTTATATCAAGAAACAAAAAACTTTTCTAATTGTCTCAATGAATGTGATTTGTATGCTATGGGTTATAATGGTAGCACCTTCACCTGGTGGAATGGTAGGACAGATGAAGCATGCATTTTCAAAAGGCTAGACACAGTTTTAAGTAATCAAGAATTAATGGCTGAGCACCCCAACATTCAAGTGAAACATCTCATAAAAAAGGGTTCTGATCGTTCTCCTTTGGAGGTTCAATGTTCTCAAAGTACTGAAGTGATTCAAAAACCCTTCAAGTTTTTGAACTTCTGGATTAAACATGATGAGTTTCTGGAAGTGGTAATGAACAACTAGGTGGCTGATTTTGAAGGGAATTCTTTCCAGATATTGGCATCAAAAGCTGAAAAAATTGAAAGGAGCTTTTTTTTTTTTTTGATAAAGTTAAAGTTGTATTCTTCAGCATCGAGGGTATGCTGGCTACCTCCAAAAAGTTACAAGCTAAAACCATAATTACTTGATCCTAGGAAATCTACCAACTGTTCTGCTACTTCTATACTCTCTTCTTTACACCAAAAAAACATGTTAATGCAATTTTCTTTAACTTTCTGCATAGTGTTGGTAATATTCTCATGAAACCTAAGATTTCTTTCTCATGGAGTAAGGAAACTTATGGAAATATCTTTCAAAAAATTACTACTTTGGAAGAGATTATTCAGATTTAAGAGAGGCAGTTTGAATAAAATCCATCTCAGCAGAACAGAGAAAGCCTTCATAAATCCCAAGCTGACTTAGCTAGATACATGCATTTGGAGGAGGAATTTTGGAGACAGAAAGCAGGCATGCAGTGCTTTGAATAAGGGGAAAGAAATTCCAAGTTCTTTCATGCTTATGTGAATGGAAGAAGAAAGAGATTGCAGCTGTACAGGATCCAAAATTCATACAGAGTATGGGTGGAAGAACAGACAGAGGTGGCCAATGAAGCAGTAAAGTTTTTTCAAAATCAATTCACGGAGGATAGTTTCCCTGAGGACTTTGAACTATTAGAAAACATTCCAAAGTTGATCAATGCAGAACAGAATGAGAACAGAATAGAGCACCTGATGAGGCAGAAGTTAAAGCAGCAGTTTTTGATCCAAGTGGAGAAAGTTCTAGTGAACCAGATGGTTTTACGGGTCTTTTTTGTCAATCGGCTTGGGAAATTATTAAGGAGGATACCATAGTTGTGCATGCTTTTATGGGGGGACAGGAACCACCCAGATTTGTTAGTTGTTACTCATACAAATCCGGTTCTGATACCTAAGAAAGATAACATCTAGACCTTCAATAATGTCAGACCCATCAGCCTTAGCAACTTCATTAACAAAGTGGTTTCTAGAGTTGTGCATGGAAGAATGATTTTGTTATTGCCTGAGTTGATTTTAGCAAATCAAACAGGTTTCATCAAAGGTAGGAGTATTGTGGAGAATATTCTACTAAGTCAAGAGATCGTCATAGACATAAGGATTAGGACCAAATCTGCTAATGTGGTAGTCAAATTGGATATGACAAAAGCTTACGGTAGACTGTCATGGTTGTTCCTAACAAAGGTCTTAAGAAAGTTTTGATCCTCAGAATTTTGATTGGCATGAGTTACAGATTACTAGCCAACAATTGGCATTCTGTTCTTGTAAATGGCCAAGCTCAGGGTTTTTTCCAAATCAACAAGGGGACCCTTTGTCTCCTACCCTTTTCGTAATTGCTGCTGAAGCCCTTTCCAGGGGACTTAATGCATTGAATAGACATGAGGAGTTTAAGGGGTTTGGCCTCTCCCTAAATGGAGTACAACTATTAACCATTTTAGGTTATGCAGATGACACAATTCTTTTTGTATCAGCAGAGAAGAAGTCCATGAAGCTTATGATTAAAGTACTGAATAAGTATGAGTCAGCATCAGGACAAATGATTAATTTGAATAAGAGTGCCTTTTATGTACATGAAAAGTGAATCCAGGAATTGTTGCCATGATTAAAAAAAGGTTACTCAAATCAAGCAAGATACTTTTCCTTTTACTTACTTAGGATGCCCAATTATTTATGGAAGAAATAAAATTTGTTTTTTTCTTCATCAAAAAATAAAATTTGTTTTCATGACCCCAGGTAGAACCATGGATTTTTGAGTTTTCGGCTTTTCGCCATTGGTTACGGGTTGAGCCACTGGAATGGAATGAGATAAGAATCTCTGGAGATCTTTCCTATCCACTTGCTCGTAACAGGCTTTTCTTCTGTAAAAGACTTCTTCTGAATGGCATAATTGTCCGACACTACATTCCTTGATCTTCAAAGAAAACTGATTATAAAGATTGTGAATAGGAACTTTTGTCGTATGGACGGAGAGTTGTGCATATATATCATACGTTACAAGGCATGCCCATTCACTTACTTTCAGCTCTAAGGAAGATACATGGTATTTCTGTGAAATTCTTTGGAATAATACTACTGAGAAGAAAAGCAGGCATTGGGGGAAATGGAATACTCTTTGTCTACCAAACTCTGAAGGGGGGATTGGTTTTAGATCTATTTTTGATGTTTCTAAAGCTTTTTTCTTCGAGCTATGGACGAATTTGAGAAGTAAGCCTTCTCCGTGGAGTGCTTTTATGATCAATAAATACAGTAAAAAGTATCATCTAGTAATTGCTCATAGCAGGGGTGCTTCTCCAGTCTGGAAGAAATTAATTACAGTGAGGGAACTTACAGAGCACCAAATCTTACGGCAGATTAGAATGGGAGCTGCAAGTTTTTGGTTTTACAACTGGACTTCTTAGGGTGTTTCATATCATATTACACCAGAAGCAACGGAGAGGAGATTGAAGTTAATAATTTTGCAGACGATGACGGATGGAATATATAAAGATTGAGAGATAATATTACTGAAGACATTGTCCAGCACATTCTGAGAACCATTCCAGCACCAAAGACTACAAATAGTTTGAACAAACTAATATGGATGCTTGAGCACAGTGGAAGATTCACAGTAAGGAGTGCATGGGAGTACATTAGACAAAAGAAGGAGAAAGAAGACATTTTTGAATTCATGTGGAAAAAAGACTTCCTTTAAAATGTCTTTTTTCCTATGGAGAGCTTGGGAATTTAGGGTTCCAGTAGATGATGTCCTACAACACATCGGAGTCAATATAGCTTCACAATGTTGGTGTTGCACTAAGCCTACAACTGAGACTATGTCTCATCTCTTTCTAACCTCCTCCATAGCTACTAAGCTATGGAGGTTGTTTGCTAACTTGCAGGGATTCAAATAGAGGGGCTACAACTTTCACAAGTTTGCAATAAATGGTGGACATCAGATTGCTGTTCAAAATTAAAGCCACTTTTGAGAGTTGTCCCAGCCATTGTGACATGGAACCTCTGGAAAAGGAGAAATAGGTTGAAGCATGGAAAGAGTTATTCTTACAACAGTCTGGTTTCTAAAGTAAATTCAGATTTACGGAGACATGGGAGAACCACCTATGCTGGACTACAGATTCCTCCAACTTGGCCTAATATCATAGATTTTCTGGAAAAGCACACTCCAAGGGTTCATTATATTGCAGTCAGCTGGAAACCTCCAAAAGGACGTCTAGTGAAATGCAACGCAGGTGGTGCATCAAAGGGAAATCCAGGAAGAAGCACTTATGGTTTCTGCTTAAGAGAATGTACAGGAGACTTAGTCTATGCTCAAGGTGAAGAGATTCAGGAAAGTACGAACTTAGAGGCAGAAGCTATAGCTATAAGGGAGGCAATCACTCATTGTATTACTGTTGGGATGAACCAAGTCTGTTTGGAAACAGATTCTTTAATCTGAATAAAGATCCTTACTAAAGTTTGGGTGATCCCCTGGAACACTTCAGTCATTATTGGAGACATAATGGATGCACCTCAATTGTGTCGTATTCAAATTAGACACACTTACAGAGAATGGAAATATGCTTGCAGATTATCTAGCCAACATGGCTTTTGGCACTACTGGCAGGTATAAGATTCATAATTTTTCAGATCTACCAAGTCAAGCGAAGAGGATTCTTAATTTAGACAAACAAGAAGTTGCTAATCTTCGCATCAGGACCAAAAAGATTAAGCCTTATATCATGTGTGGGGAGCAAGAAGCAGTGTTTATTTCATAATTCAGGTCACATATTTACAAGCTCTGCACATATTTAACAAATTTGAAAAAAGCTCAAAAAATCAATCCTCTGTCAACACATGAGGACATAATCACAGAATCACCAATTAGAAAAAGAGGAAGAGTTATTTCTCAAGTAACATACAGCAATAGAAGATTGGAGACATCATGCTCAAACACCATCGAAGGATACGGATTACCCAGTCGCTGAAATATCCCCACCAAAATTAGTTCTCCTTGGGATTTGTAAAAAGAAATTCGAGAGGCTAAGAAATGAAGAAAAGCAGTTAAAGGATATGTATGAACACAACATCTTCAATAGGATGAACTCACCAGCCTCATGGCGGAATGGAATTTCAGTGTTCACATTGAAGAACAAACACAATATAAGCTCGAGAGAGAGACAATAGTGGGTAGGATCAATGACTCACGCATCAGCCAAAGGAAAATATCAGCTCAGCTAGCAAAGATCAGACATTGGAATGACTGCAGATGCATACAGAACCCTTGGTATCATCTACCAAATGTTTTGTTCACTATATTCAGATGTTTCAGAGTGTAGTATTTTGGTTCTATTTTGTTTCCTTTTTCTATTAGGCTGGCCACTTTTGGGCTGGTCCTTTTGTTATTTTTATTATATCTTGTTGAACTTATCTTCATGATATAAAATCGCTTTTTTATGCCACAAAAAAAGGGAGGCACTGAAAGGAAATTAAAAAATTCTAACGTACCTTAGATGTCGTGAATATTGATCAATCAAGGCAGTTGCGTATTGGCTTGGTGCATATAAATGACTTGAGGGATATATTTCAGGCAACAAGTAATTGTTGATGTAATCATTGCTCCCTATTCCAACTATGAATAGGCACTTATTCAAGTGCTTTTCAGCTGAAATTTTATTCCCCACTAAATTAGCTATTACGAGAAACTGTTGATTGATGATTCTCCAAATGCCTACCCAAGTAAATGCGATCACCCTGGAAACTAAAATAATTAGAGAAGATCTTCTATGAGTAAATAAGGTTACTTTAGTAAAATATCCCTATAATTAAGGTTTTCTTAAGGGATGTGACAAGTAACCAGGGGCCAATAGTAATATGAATTCCACGGAGGGAGTCCAGAAATTTTTGCATTGGAAGCTTGGAAGGTAGCCATGTACATATATATGTAGTTAACTACACTTACAAGATGACTTCCGCTGTTACAGCAAATTCCAGCTGAACCAGATGCATAATTTTACACCATCCAAGATCTCACTACCTTCTGTCTTTGCAAAGGAGGAATGTAGAGATCAAAAATCCCAGGAGTTCCGCTGCAAACATGGAGAAAAATCAAGTCAATCCAGAAAATCTAGGTCATCAGGTACGTATGCCCAAGATCGACTAGCTTTATATGAAGAGACAACATTCTCCTCATTCACAATGTGTGAGACATCAATGGTAACCTCACTGAACATAGATCTGGTATCTGAACAATATAACATGTGACTCAAATGTACGATAACAAAGATATATACATTTGGCTCTGATGTATATACACCATGTTAAGTAACTAAACCTTAGATTTAACTCAACTCAAAAGCTCACTGTGGAATGAGGAATGTATGTTCAAGATCACATTATTAATTACGAATCATTGTCCATTCTCTCAAGTACAAATGTGGAACACTTAACAAACGAATATACTCCATATTTGTTTCTCTTCAAACATTAAGTATCGATCGATCTAGTAAAGAAACACTAATTAGGGAAATCCATATATAGAAATGAGAATTAAGTTTCACAAACAAGCTAATTAAGTAGTTAAGACTTAAGACCTAGGAAGTCAGCCATGTTAAGGCCGTAGGTGAAACAGCAGGTCGGACGGCCATCCGGGAAGTCCACCCCATAAGGTACGTAATTAGCCTTTGCCGTTGTGTTAAGGTCATTGTTATTTCCATTAACAAATAACGAGTCTCCAAATACGAAGTAACATGATACTTGTGGTGCACCTTCAACAAATGTTTTTTAAGTTCAACACTAGAAAAAAATATTGAAAAAAATATATATATATGGCACAACAAGCCATTTCAGGACAATGAAAAGAAGAAATAAGTGTTATATATATATATATGGAGTGTGTGATGGAGATGGAAGAATTTTTGTAAGTGATAGACTATATGGGAAGTAAAAGTGAAACTATATATAGAAACAAACAAGGAGTAAAATATAAGTTGCTAAAAGTTACTCAAAGAAGATACCAATCACACACACAAAAAAAAAAAGAAAAAAAAAAGTGCAAATTGGTTGAGTACTTCAATTATTATATATATGGTGTCATAGACTTACATTTTTCAAAGCCATATTTAAAAAACAAATCAATTCGTCTCATCATATAGAAAATTTTCAAACAAAAAGAGGAAAATAGTGGGAGGGGGGAGGGGGTGGGGGGAATGAATTATTAAAAGAGTTGACGTGGATTATATGGATATGCCAACAGACGCACACAAATAGAATTTATTTGATTCTTTTTGGATGGCATCGACATTAGATCTAAGCCAGTTGGAAGACTTCACAGTACTTGCTAGTAAGTGTGCTACAAGTGCAAAATATAGAATAACAGAATAGGCGAATGTAATTTTTTGCAACTAAATATACTCCTATGCTCATCCTCCAAGATAATGACTTGCATTACCCCATTGAGGAAAGTAACTGCAAACGTCAAAACAGAAAATTCCAAGGTCAGATTTACCCAAACCTTTCAGATAAAGCAAGAGTTATTGGCAGTTGACATAATGTTGGAAGTAAAGAAATCTTCTTGTGCAATGAAGGGTAGTGGTAGTATTCTATGTTAATCTTGCATTATTTAGTCCATGGATCAAGGAAAACGTTCATGCTATGGGCGAAAAAACAGGAGAAATAAAATCATTTTTGCTGGAATGAAGAACTTATTTTGGCAGTAGTAGTTCCATTCCAAAAGGTTACTTTTTAGTGTGGTAAACTTCTCTTGAAGCCTTGAGAATTCTCCATTTGCAGAACCGGTGGTTTATTGATAAAAGAAGTAATGATACCTTGAAGTGTCGATATCCAATATGACTTCCAGAAAAGCGAGAAGTTATGCTAGAAAAGTGATAATGAAGTAGCCATAGTATTTACCAGCATATATAAGGAAAACATGCTGTTGTGTGTAAAAAACAATATGTAGTCCTTGCATGTAAAAGACTTACTCATGAATCCTCTTACTATTCCCTTAACACTATGCTAAGAAAACTAGAGGTTACTCATAGATTTTCACCAGGTTTAAGCTTATTCATATTAATCTTCAAGTGTTCCATTAAGACCATATCTTTTAGCATTTACATTATAATCTTCAACTGTTTTTTACTCATCAGTGTTTTTGTAGTTCTGCTATTTGATCATTAACATCTCTGCTGCTGTGGTTTCCAGTTTCTTCAACTAGTTGTTTCAAGGCTCTGCATTCAAAGTATAACTGCCACATGATTATTTTTCAGATTCAGGTTGTTGCATCCCTGACTGAAAGGAACAGGTCCAGAAAAATTAGCATGACAAAAAAGGAGATAAGAAAAAATATAAAAACGACACTCTGTTTAAATCTTGAAACACAAATCGGAGGATTCCTTGAGAAAGCAGAGATGATCTCCGAACAAAAAAAACTCATTACTCCTGATACACAGAATGCGATAACTAGTGATCAATACTTGCTGCTTCATGCAGTTAGCGATAAGGAATACAAATTAGAAGAGAAAAGGAATGAAAAGATTTCTCGGAGTTGCAGCCAAATTCAAGTGATTGGTTTTGAGCCCAAAAATAGATTGACCCTCCAAAGCTGCGGATTTTTTACTTGTATTTTTAGTTCAGGCTCTCCATCACTCAAAATCATTCAAATTTACTCCAAGAAATATGTTATAGCACAAATCTGCTTATATTTTCACTTCAAAAAGATCTCATTCAAAGAACAATATGAAACCAAACATGTCGCAAGCAAGCCATGAAATTGAAAGCCAATACACAAGCAGAACAAGATTGTTTCCAAGTAAAATTGTCGTAATGAGGGAAAGAAGGAAGGTATCAACTAGGATATCTTTAGCACAATTAAGCAACATCATAAGTTTACTTCCAAAATCCACGGTGACATATATAAGAATATGAAGCATACGTTCAGAAAAGATATGGACATGTCTATCTCCCAAGGTACTCCCAAGTCAAAATTTACCTGTATACAAAACTAGTCAATTAGAGGAGCTGGTGGAAGAAAAATATACCTGCACAAGAAATTCTCAGCCAAAACAGTTGGTACAGGATTTATATTTTTATACATAAAGCATGCTCCAAGTATTCACCAGTATAAAAGAAATTCGCTGTGTGATGAGTTTTTTCATAATAATGTTTGGGGGATATTCTTCTTCTTATGTGGACAACTTGATATTTGAAACAGAGTCATCATGTCATATTCTATATCAAATGACTTTGCCAATAATTAAAAGAAACAAAGGTTTCTTCAAAGTCACAACTCTCAAAACTCTACTGAAGTTGAAAGTTTCTTCTGTTTCCAGAATTGAACAACCCTAACATGCATTCAATAGAAAAGGCAATCAAAAACATGTCATGAGCAGATATAGCAAACATTATTGTACACAAGCAGAAGCCAAGAAAATGTTATCATTTTGAACAGATTTTAGGATAAAAGGACATTTTGAACAGATTTTAGGATAAAAGGACATTTTGACAGGAAAAGGAAGAGAAGTGGATATGCTGACAAGAGAGCGAGACAGAGAATCAGAACTATTACCACAACTGTTACCTACAAGAAAGAGAGAATTTGAGACAGAGAACCACAACTATTACAGGTTTTATATGGTTCATATTTATGAAGATCCGACTTCTGAAAGACAATTAACCCTCCTCCTTTCTCCGGGCTTGGGACCGGCTGCGAAATGGAAGAATCCAAACACAGGCGGAGTTAAAACTATGTTTTTCTTTCTCTAGGTAGGATCAGTATGACAAGTCATCACTTTTGATCATAGACAAGTCACCTTACCACTGAGTCACACTAAGTCACCTTAAAGAGTTGAATTAAAGATTGAAGAATTTGAAACAAGCCTTCATATTTTGGTTTGAAAAGACGAACTGAATCAGTGATAGTTCCTTCAAAACTTTTCAGAATCCCAGATATTCCAAAGAAGGGCATTGGTTCAGACCTAATCAACTGAAATGTAGCTAGTTTTCTATCTTCGGAATGTGTTAGGGGCAAAAGAGGATCAAGTCCAATGAAAGAGCACTGCTCAGGTATAAAATATGACATGAATTAGGTATCACCCACCCCAGCTGCGATTGAAGAATGGATATTTTGAAGAAGTCTTTCAAAGACCTCCGTCGTCGACCTTCAGTAGAAGCAACCAAGTTATTGGTAGTAGAAATATGGTCCTCAAGTAAGTAGAGATACCAGTGAGAATCTAACTGGCTCACCCACTAGCACCTGGGAACTGCAATCTATGGGTGCTGAAAAATATATGGTGTATTTTCCTAGTTTAGCCTGTCAGCAATGCATGTAAGAAAGTTGCCTTATTCGTTTTTGGTTAGACCGTAGTCTCATGCAGATGGCTGTTTCAGCATGCATCCCTTTCGGACTAAAACAAGGACTCACCCTATTTCAGTCTAGTGAGGGTCCAAAAGACCAACTCACGTACACCCATTCTCAGCAATGGCGAGAGGAGCCTTCACCTGCCCTTGTTATTGTTTTCTTTGTCCCTCGCCAATTTCTTGATCCATATTATCAACTAGATATCCCACACAAGGCACCAAACTTCCAATCTAAAACAAAAGCCTTCTTCAGACTGTAGCGGGCATATAAAGCAGGGCAGATTCCACTTCACCCATGACAACAAATATGACAATCGCAGCACTTAACCATCACATGGACTTGGGGTTCAAAAGGTGCAGAGTGTGTGCAATTAACCTCCAATAGATGAATAGCATACACAAAAAATGGAGCTCAGGCCTGAACACACTGCCCTTGAATAGAATTTGTACTGAGATTTAAAAAATTAAAAACAAAAGATGGCATTAAAAAGAAAAGATTCATCTTTTTTTCAAAGTTGGCTTTTTAAAAATAAGACTTGACACAGTATCTCTCTCCCATTAATTCAATCATTCAAGATAGACCTATGTGACTTATCTTTCAACCTAGACAAATACTGTATGCATTGTATACTATGGACAATACGAAATTCTGAAACGAAAATTCACGGTTCCTAAAAATATCAAACATAGTCAAATGCAACAGCTACACTAATAAAGATTCCTAAAAATATCAAACTGAATCTTTATTTTATGAAGTAAAGAGTGCTTAAGACACCTGCAAGGTTCTGTCTGTACCTCAACAACCGGCACAGGTTGGACTGGTGGCAATCGTCCCCGGGATTCAAGCCAAAATCTGGAGAGTTTCGGCTCGACTTTGATTCTGCGCGACGTGGTACGTCTTCTGTTGTTAATGGTGCGCCTCAGAATCATTCTTCGGAATCTGTTCCAGTCCTCTTCACTGAAGAAATCTTCCTGAATTGGATGCACAATTCTTTTTTTCTTGAACCACCAAATCGCCATAGTTAACAAGAATGAAGAAGCAGGCCTAGACTAAAGATGGATTTCAGGCGAAACAGAAGTGGCCGAAAAACTTAAAGGAAACAGGAGACCGACATTATAAAATAAAAAAAAGTTTTGACCTACTTTGACTTAGGAAATTAACTAATAAAATTTTTTTGACCTACTTAACTTACAAAATTAACTAAAAAATCATTTTGACCTACTTGACTTACGAAATTAACTAAAAAATCATTTTGACCTACTTGACTTACGAAATTAATTAAAAAGAGTTTTGACCTACTTGATTTAGGAAATTAATTAAAAAAAAGTTTTGACCTACTTGATTTTTAAAAATTAATTAAAAAATTTTTGACTTACGAAATTAACTAATAAAAAAGTTTTGACCTACTTGATTTACGAAATTAAGTCAATTAATTTCTTTTTTAAAAGTTCAAGAACTTACGAAATATTTGTTTCCTTTGTCCATTTTTGGATCATTCATTATACTAAAAGTAAATATCATGTTTGCCATATCAAGAGCTAATTTGTCATTTTAATTTTATGTAGATATTAAGTTTTCTAAGTTATAGTAAATATAGACTTGACTCTAAAACTCTCGGACTACAATAATTATAAGCATAAGCATCTATTAAATATTATTTATTTTTCATATATTTTTCAAAATATTACATTTATCATAGTAATGTAATCATTTTATTGAATACTTTTAATTGAATTTATCGTTACAAAATTGATTAAACATAATTTTTTCTTGCTAACGTCTCATTTGAATAATCGATGCATAACTATTGTCAAGCACTTGTAAAACTTATATTTCGCCTTTATAGATTAATCAAAACTCTAGCAATTTCAACACAAAGGTCTCATAAAAAAAAATTCTTCATTAAAAAATGGGAACTGAAAAGTACAATATTTTATGATTAAAACAAAACAAAAAAGCACTAAAACTATATATTAAACACTTGTGATTACATCTTATAGTAATTAGATGTCAATTCCACAATAATTAATATTTGTAATCACCAGCTGCATTTTCATTTCCTAAAATTTGCACCACACTTGTCCAGAAAAACTAGTCCTTCCTCCCTATAAATATTCCATAAGAAATTAACAGATTTTAATAAAATCAAAAAATTAAAAAGACACTAGTAATTAAGTAGAATAAAAATACTAACATACTTGCTTACGCATTTGGAATACTTATAATAGATATAGCTTGCTGTTGAATTGCATTATTTGTTGAACTCACACATCTACTTATAGCTCTGCTGGAATGCTGCTGGCCCTAGTCCTAAGGCAACTTTCCTTGCTCCATCTTCTTCATACAAAGTCTAGTAATATGATAACAATCAGATTTTTTTTGTGAGAAATGGTGAACTTCATGCATGATTCCAAAATTTTCACCAAAAAATTTAAATTTATGTTGTGAATATAATGAGGCACAGAAAGACCAGTTCTGCTTTAATTTTAACAAAAATTCTCTCTGGAAGCCGAACACTAATACTGCCTAATTTCACCGGCCGGTGTTATGGCCTCTGCCAACAATGGCTAGCCACCCCTTCCTGGTGGAGAGCCTCCTCCAATGCTATACAATCCTTACAACATTCATATTTAAAATCCTTAACCTCTGAAGACGCAAAACCTTCTAACCCTATCCCCATTAAAGACCTAATATATGTTCACGGAGAACCTACAGTGTTATGGGAAGAAGATATGGATAATATGATCATTCAAGAAGATTTACAATATGCAGTGATAGGAAAGTTTGCTTATTGTTGGTCAGAGTTGGAGGAAATTTGTAGAATTTTGCCTATTCAATGTGAGATTAAAGCAGAGTGTAAAATAGGTTTCTTGAGGGAAAGGCATGAGCTAATTCGCCTCACTACCTTGGAAAATTATGTGCACCTTATGTCAAAACCTGCTTACTTTCTAAGGGCAAAAGATCGATATTATCAGATGAGAGCATTATATGGAAGCCATGATTCAATCCAGAGGCAGAAACAACCACTGCACTAGCATGGGTGTCTTTTCCTACATTATCCCTCGATTTTTTTGTGGCAGAATCTCTCTTCACGATGGCAAAGCAGTGGGTAAGCCATTACATGTGGATATGGCTACTAAGAACAAATCTAGATTCTAGACCTAGTTGTGCCAACGAATTAATGTTGGAATAAAAAAAGCCAACACTGGAGAAGCAGTTTCAAAGTGAATTATCATAAGATACGACTATATGCAAAAATACTGCAAATCCTGCAAACTCCTAGGGCATAAAGAGACAGAATGTTATGTTCTTCACCCTGAGTTAGAACAAGTAATTGAGGATGAGGAATGCACGGAAGAGATACAACACACCATTAAAAATCATTAGAGGATGAATCAAAACATTATTGAGTGGTAAGGCAGTGAAGCCTCAAAATCAGAATCAAGATAATAATTATAACAATGAAGCAAAGAAAAAAGAGTTCATTAAAGGGAAAGGAAGACATAAGAGAAATCAATCAAGACAAGTATGGAATGCAACGAAGGACATGCGAGTGTTCATCCCAAACAAAGGAAGAAGGGATCAAGTAGAAAAGGAAATAGCCACTCAAACTACAAATTCTTTTTGAGGTTTTGAATAAACAAATACAGGAACCCAAGGAGAAAGATCCAGAGTTTGTACCATCGATATCTTGCAAAGAGTGGATAGAATCATCATTTGGAAAGAATATTCAGAAGGATAGCAAGGAGGTGAAGTTTATATGGAGGCAATCACCAATAATATAAAACAGATATCAAGGGGCCAAGGGCTGCTGATCTATCTCCAAAACAAGTTAATCTATTAAAGGAAGTAAAACCAATCAGAAAGGATGGAAAGAAGTACAGGAACAAACAGCTCCTATCAGACCATTATCTCAGAGACTTGCTGCCTCAAAGAAGTTCAATAAATATGATGACTAAAATGTTGTTTTGGAATATTAGATCAGTCAAATACTCAACGTGCTTTGATAGATTATAGAAGAAAACAAGTATTGGCTTATAGGTTTGATGGAACCTTTTCAAGATTCATCAAACATCGAAAACTCCAGAAGGATTCTGAGGCATAACGCTTCGGTTGCAAATTGTACAGGAGATATGGTTGTTTGCAAGAGAAGAATTGCATGTTGATATTCTAGTGGATTCAACCCAACATCTTACTAGTCAAGTTAATCATTAGAATTGGAGGAAAGAAATTTCGATTGTTTAGTTTATGCTGCTTGCAACATTAGCACGAGTAGGGATCTTTGGGCCCTCTTTAGCAAATAGTGCTGAACATCATCCACTTCCCTGGCTAGTAGGAGTAGATTTTAATACAATTTTATCTAGAGAAAAAAAGCTGGGGGGTCTACCAGTTATATATCAAGAAACAGAAGACTTTTCCAATTGTCTCAATGAATGTGATTTCTATGATATGGGTTATAATGGTGGCACCTTCACCTGGTGGAATGGTAGGACAGATAAAGCATGCATTTTCAAAAGGCTGGACAGAGTTCTAAGTAATCAAGAAATAATGGATGAGTACCCCAACATTCAAGTGAAACATCTCATCAAAAGGGTTCTGATCATTCGCCTTTGGAGGTTCAATGTCCTCAAAGTACTGAAGTGATTTAAAAACCCTTCAAGTTTTTGAACTTCTGAGTTAAACACGATGAATTTTTGGAAGTGGGAAGGAACAATTGGGTGACTGATTTTGAAGGGAATTCTTTCCAGATATTGGCATCATAAGCTGAAAAAATTGAAAGGAGCTTTATCTAAATGGAGTGAGGGAACTTGTGGAAATATCTTTCAAAAAGTTTACTACTTTGGAAGAGATTATTCAGATTTAAGAGAGGCAGTTTGAATTAAATCCATCTCAGCAGAACAGAGAAAGCCTTCATAAATCCAAGCTGACTTAGCTACATACTTGCATTTGGAGGAGGAATTTTGGAGATAGAAAGCAGGCATGAAGTGGTTTGAATAAGGGGAAAGAAATTCCAAGTTCTTTCATGCTTATGTGAATGGAAGAAGAAAGAGATTGCAGCTGTACAGGATCCAAAATTCAGACACAGTATGGGTGGAAGAACAGACAGAGGTGGCCAATGAAACAGTGAAGTTTTTTCAAAATCAATTCACCGAGGATAGTTTCCCTGAGGACTTTGAACTATTAGAAAACATTCCAAAGTTGATTAATGCAGAACAGAATGAGAACATGAATAGATCACCTGATGAGGCAGAAGTTAAAGCAGCAGTTTTTTATCCAAGTGGAGAAAGTTCTAGTGAACCAGATGGTTTTATGGGTCTTTTTTGTCAATCGGCTTGGGAAATTATTAAGGAGGATATCATAGTTGTGCATGCTCTTAAGGGGGGGGGGGGGACAGGAATCATCCAGATCTGTTACTCATACAAATCAGGTTCTGATACCTAAGAAAGATAACATCTAGACCTTCAATAATGTCAGACCCATCAGCCTTAGCAACTTCATTAACAAAGTGATTCCTAGAGTTGTGCATGGAAGAATGATTTTGTTATTGCCCGAGTTGATTTCAGCAAATCAAACAGGTTTCATCAAAGGAAGGAGTATTGTCGAGAATATTCTACTAACTCAAGAGATCGTCAGAGACATAAGGATTAGGAACAAATCTGCTAATTTGGTAGTCAAATTGGATATGACAAAAGCTTATGATAGACTGTCATAATTGTTCCTAACAAAGGTCTTAAGAAAGTTTTGATCCTCAGAATTTTGATTGGCATGATCTACATATTACTAGCCAACAATTGGTATTCGTTCTTGTGAATGGCCAAGCTCAGGGTTTTTCCAAATCAACAAGGAGACCCTTTGTCTCCTACCCTTTTCGTAATTGCTGCTGAAGCCCTTTCCAGGGGACTTAATGCATTGAATAGACATGAGAAGTTTAAGGGTTTTGGCCTCCCTAAATGGAGTACAACTATTAATCATTTAGCTTATGCAGATGACACAATACCTTTTGTATCAGCAGAGAAGAAGTCCACAAAGCTTATGAATAAAGTACTGAATAAGTATGAGTCAGCATCAGGACAAATGATTAATTTGAGTAAGAGTGACTTTTATGTTCATGAAAAAGAATCCAGGAATTGTGGCCATGATAAAAAAAGGTCACTCAAATCAAGCAAGATACTTTTCCTTTTACTTGCTTAGGATGCCCAATTTTGTATGGAAGAAATAAAATTTGTTTTTTTCTTCATCAAAAAATAAAATTTGTTTTTTTCTTCATCAAAAAATGAAATTTGTTTTCATGACCCCAGGTAGAACCATGGATGTTTGAGTTACCGGTTTTTCGCCATCGGTTACTAGTTGAGCCACTGGAATGGAATGAGATAAGAATCTCTGGAGATCTTTCCTCTCCACTTACTCGTAACATGCTTTTCCTCTGTAGAAGACTTCTTTCGAATGGCATAATTGTCCGACACTACATTCCTCGATCTTCAAAGAAAACTGATTAAAAAGATTGTGAATAGGGTACAGAGTTGGAAAGGAAAACTTTTATCTTATGGAGGGAGAGTTGTGCATATTAATCATACGTTACAAGGCATGCCCATTCACTTACTTTCAGCTCTTCATCCCCCCTTAGGAGTTATAAGGAAGATTCATGGTATTTCTGCGAAATTCTTTAGGAATAACACTACTGAAAAGAAAAGCAGGCATTAGTTGAAATGGGATCCTTCTTGTCTACCAAAGTCTGAAGGGGGGATTGGTTTTAGATCTATTTTTGATGTTTCTAAAGCTTTTTTGTTTGAGCTATGGAGGAATTTGAGAAGTAAGCCTTCTCTGTGGGGTGCTTTTATGATCAATAAATACAGTAAAAAGTATCATCTAGTAATTGCTCATAGCAGGGGTGCTTCTCCAGTCTGGAAGAAATTAGTTACAGTAAGGGAACTTATAGAGCACCAAATCTTATGGCAGATTAGAATGGGAGCTGCAAGTTTTTGTTTGACAACTGGACTTCTTTGGGTGTTTTATATCATATTATACCAGAAGCAAAGGAAGAGAAGATTGAAGTTAATAATTTTGCAGATAATGAGGGATGGATATAAAGATTGAGAGATAATATTACTGAAGACATTGTCCAGCACATTCTGAGAACCATTCCAGCACCAAAGACTACAAATAGTTTGGATAAACCAATATGGATGCTTGAGCACAGTGGAAGATTCACATTAAGGAGTGCATGGGAGTACATTAGACAAAAGAAGGAGAAAGAAGACATTTTTGAACTCATGTGGGAAAAAAGCTTCCTTTTAGAATGTCTTTTTTCCTATGGAGAGCTTGGAAATTTAGGGGTCCAGTGGATGATGTCCTACAACACACCGGAGTCAATATAGCTTCAAAATGCTTGCACTAGGCCTAAAACTGAGACTATGTCTCATCTCTTTCTAACCTCCTCCATAGCTACTAAGCTATGGAGGTTGTTTGCTGATTTCGCAGGGATTCAAATAGAGGGCTTACAACTTTCACAAGTTTGCAATAAATGGTGGACATCAGATTGCTGTTCAAAATTAAAGCCACTATTGGGAGTTGTCCCAGCTATTGTGATATGGAACCTCTAGAAAAGGAGAAATAGGAGTTCTTCTTATAACAGTCTGGTTTCTAAAGTAAATTCAGATTTATGGAGACATGGGAGAACCACCTATGCTGGACTAAAGATTCCTACAACTTGGCCTAATATCATAGATTTTCTGGAAAAGCACACTCCAAGGGTTCATTATATTGCAGTCAGCTGGAAACCTCAAAAAGGACGTCTAGTGAAATGCAACATCGATGGTGCATCAAGGGAAATCCGGGAAGAAGCACTTATGGTTTCTGCTTAAGAGAATGTACAGGAGACTTAGTCTATGCTCAAGGTGAAGAGATTCAGGAAAGTACGAACTTAGAGCAGAAGCTATAGCTATAAGGGAGGCAATCACTCACTGTATTACTGTTGGGATGAACCAAGTCTGTTTGGAAACAGATTCTTTAATCTGAATAAAGATCCTTACTAAAGTTTGGGTGATCCCTTGGAACACTTCAGTCATTATTGGAGACATAATGGATGCATCTCAATTGTGTCGTATTCAAATTAGACACACTTACAGAGAAAGGAAATATGCTTGCAGATTATTTACCAAACATGGCTTTTGACACTACTGGCAGGTATGAGATCATAATTTTTCAGATCTACCAAGTCAAGCGAAGAGGATTCTTAATTTAGACAAACAAGAAGTTACTTATCTTCGCATCAGGACCAAAAAGATTAAGCCTTATATCATGTGTGGGGAAGAAGAAGCAGTGTTTATTTCATGATTCAGGTCACATATTTACAAGCTCTGCACATATTTAACAAATTTGAAAAAAGCTCAAAAAACCAATCCTCTGTCAACACATGAGGACAGAATCACGGAGTCACAAATTAGAATAAGAGGAAGAGTTATTTCAAGTAACATACAGCAAAAGAAGATTGGAGACATCATGCTCAAACACCATCGAAGGATACGGATTACCCAGTCGCAGAAACATCCCTACCAAAATTATAGTTCTTCTCATTGGGATTTGTAAAAAGAAATTCGAGAAGCCAAGAAATGAAGAAAAGCAGTTCAAGGATATGTATGAACACAACATCTTCAATAGGATGAACTCACCAGCCTCATGGCGGAATGGAATTTCAGTGTTCACATTGAAGAACAAACACAATATAAGCTCGAGCGAGAGACAATAGTGGGTAGGATCAATGACTCGGGAATCAGCCAAAGGAAAATATCAGCTCAGCTAGCAAAGATCAGACTTGGAATGACTGCAGATGCTTACAGAACCCTTGGTATCATCTGCCAAATGTTTTATTCACTATATTCAGATGTTTCAGAGTGTATTATTTTGGTTCTATTTTGTCTCCTTTTTCTATTAGGCTGGCCACTTCTGGGCTGGTCCTTATGTTATTTTTATTATATCTTGTTGAACTTATCTTCATGATACAAAATGGCTCTTTTATGCAATATAATTAACATTCTTTGTATATGTCACTAACCTATAGCAACATTGGATCTAAGCCAGTTGGAAGACTTCACAGTACACCAAGGTTGAGTTTTTTCATAATGATGTTTGGGGGATATTCTTCTTCTTATGTGGACAACTTGATATTTGAAACAGAATCATCATGTCATATTCTATATCAAATGACTTTGTCAATAATTAAAAGAATAAAAGGTTTCTTCAAAGTCACAACTCTCAAAACTCTACTGAAGCTGAAAGTTTTTCTGTTTCCAGAATAGAAAAACCCTAACATCACACATGCAGTCAATAGAAAAGGGAATCAAAAACATGTCATGAGCAGATATAGCAAACATTATTGTACACAAGCAGAAGCCAAGAAAATGTTATCATTTTGAACAGATTTCAGTATAAAAGGACATTTTGACAGAAAAAGTGAGAGAAGTGGATATGCTGACAAGAGAAAGACTCTACACAATGGGAATATGTACGTGCAAGCAAATCTACAAGAGACAGAGACAGAGTCTGCGAGACAGAGAATCACAACTATTACCTACAAGAGAGAGAGAATATGAGACAGAGAACCACAACTATTACAGGTTTTCTATCGTTCATATTTATGAAGATCCGACTTCTGAAAGACAATTAACCCTCCTCCTTTTTCCGGGCTTGGGACCGGCTGCGAAATGGAAGAATCCAAACACAGGCGGAGTTAAAACTTTGTTTTTCTTTCTCTAGGTAGGATCAGTATGACCTGTCATCACTTTTGATCATAGACAAGTCACCTTACCATTAAGTCACACTAAGTCACCTTAAAGAGTTGAATTAAAGATTGAAGAATTTGAAACAAGCCTTTATATTTTGGTTTGAAAAGACGAACTGAATCAGTGATAGCTCCTTCAAAACTTTCAGAATCCCAGATATTCCAAAGAAGGGCACTGGTTCAGACCTAATCAACTGAAATGTAGCTAGTTTTCTATCTTCGGAATGTGTTAGGGGCAAAAGAGGATCAAGTCCAATGAAAGAGCACTGCTCAAGTATAAAATATGACATGAATTAGGTATCACCTACCCCAGCTGCGATTGAAGAATGGATATTTTGAAGAAGTCTTTCAAAGGCCTCCGTCGTCGACCTTCAGTAGAAGCAACCAAGTTATTGGTAGTAGAAATATGGTCCTCAAGTAATTAGAGATACCAGTGAGAATCTAACTGGCTCACCCACTAGCACCTGGGAACTGCAATCTATGAGTGCTGAAAAATATATGGTGTATTTTCCTAGTTTAGCCCGTCAGCAATGCATGTAAGAAAGTTGCCTTATTCGTTTTTGGTTAGACCGTAGTCTCATGCAGATGGCTGTTTCAGCATGCATCCCTTTCGGACTAAAACAAGGACTCACCCTATTTCAGTCTAGTGAGGGTCCAAAAGACCAACTCACGTACACCCATTCTCAGCAATGGCGAGAGGAGCCTTCACCTGCCCTTGTTATTGTTTTCTTTGTCCCTCGCCAATTTCTTGATCCATATTATCAACTAGATATCCCACACAAGGCACCAAACTTCCAATCTAAAACAAAAGCCTTCTTCAGACTGTAGCGGGCATATAAAGCAGGGCAGATTCCACTTCACCCATGACAACAAATATGACAATCGCAGCACTTAACCATCACATGGACTTGGGGTTCAAAAGGTGCAGAGTGTGTGCAATTAACCTCCAATAGATGAATAGCATACACAAAAAATGGAGCTCAGGCCTGAACACACTGCCCTTGAATAGAATTTGTACTGAGATTTAAAAAATTAAAAACAAAAGATGGCATTAAAAAGAAAAGATTCATCTTTTTTTCAAAGTTGGCTTTTTAAAAATAAGACTTGACACAGTATCTCTCTCCCATTAATTCAATCATTCAAGATAGACCTATGTGACTTATCTTTCAACCTAGACAAATACTGTATGCATTGTATACTATGGACAATACGAAATTCTGAAACGAAAATTCACGGTTCCTAAAAATATCAAACATAGTCAAATGCAACAGCTACACTAATAAAGATTCCTAAAAATATCAAACTGAATCTTTATTTTATGAAGTAAAGAGTGCTTAAGACACCTGCAAGGTTCTGTCTGTACCTCAACAACCGGCACAGGTTGGACTGGTGGCAATCGTCCCCGGGATTCAAGCCAAAATCTGGAGAGTTTCGGCTCGACTTTGATTCTGCGCGACGTGGTACGTCTTCTGTTGTTAATGGTGCGCCTCAGAATCATTCTTCGGAATCTGTTCCAGTCCTCTTCACTGAAGAAATCTTCCTGAATTGGATGCACAATTCTTTTTTTCTTGAACCACCAAATCGCCATAGTTAACAAGAATGAAGAAGCAGGCCTAGACTAAAGATGGATTTCAGGCGAAACAGAAGTGGCCGAAAAACTTAAAGGAAACAGGAGACCGACATTATAAAATAAAAAAAAGTTTTGACCTACTTTGACTTAGGAAATTAACTAATAAAATTTTTTTGACCTACTTAACTTACAAAATTAACTAAAAAATCATTTTGACCTACTTGACTTACGAAATTAACTAAAAAATCATTTTGACCTACTTGACTTACGAAATTAATTAAAAAGAGTTTTGACCTACTTGATTTAGGAAATTAATTAAAAAAAAGTTTTGACCTACTTGATTTTTAAAAATTAATTAAAAAATTTTTGACTTACGAAATTAACTAATAAAAAAGTTTTGACCTACTTGATTTACGAAATTAAGTCAATTAATTTCTTTTTTAAAAGTTCAAGGACTTACGAAATATTTGTTTCCTTTATCCATTTTTGGATCATTCATTATACTAAAAGTAAATATCATGTTTGCCATATTAAGAGCTAATTTGTCATTTTATGTAGATATTAAGTTTTCTAAGTTACAGTAAATATAGATGTGACTCTAAAATTCCCGGACTACAATAATTATAAGCATAAGCATCTATTAAATATTATTTATTTTTCATATATTTTTCAAAATATTACATTTATCATAGTAATGAAATCATTTTATTGATTACTTTTAATTGAATTTATCGTTACAAAATTGATTAAACATAAGTTTTTCTTGCTAACGTCTCATTTGAATAATCGATGCATAACTATTGTCAAGCACTTGTAAAATTTATATTTTCGCGTTTATAGATTAATCAAAACTCTAGCAATTTTAACGCAAAGGTCTCATAAAAAAAATTAAAAAATGGGAACTGAAAAGTACATTATTTTATGATTAAAACAAAACAAAAAAAGCACTAAAACTATATATTAAACACTTGTGATTACATCTTATAGTAATTAGATGTCAATTCCACAATAATTAATATTTGTAATCACCAGCTGCATTTTCATTTCCTAAAAGTTGCACCACACTTGTCCAGAAAAACTAGTCCTTCCTCCCTATAAAAAATCCATAAAAAATTAACAAATTTTAATAAAATCAAAAAATTAAAAAGACATAAGTAATTAAGTAGAATAAAAATGAATGTAGTACCAATTGTCTACCAGTTTCATCTCTAATTCCAGCAGCCGCAGAAGCATAATTGACACCTCTCAGGATATCTCTGCCCCTAGTAGATGCATAGGGTGGAATATTACCATTAAACCCCAATTGTTCCACTGTAAGTTATAACATATTTAATCTCAAAACTTTTTCTAGCAGATAACAGGAGTCTCGGATAATAAGCATCCTCCACCTCCGACTCTAATTTTTATCAATACGATCACCTTTGATAATAGGAACAAAGGTGTTTGGTGAATTCAAACATATATATGAAATTTCTAGTTACCAAATACTTAGATGAATTTGTTATATATCATAAAAGGAGCAAGCGATATTAGTGTACAAATTTAAGAAAAATAGATATGATTTGAATTTAATCTTATAATAGTACTAACATACTTGCTTACGCATTTGGATACTTATAGTAGATATAGCTTGCTGTTGAATAGTTGAATTGCATTATTTGTTGAACTCACATCTACTTGTAGCTCTGCTGGAATGCTGCTGGCCCTATAGTCCAAATAAGGCAACTTTCCTTGCTCCATCTTCTTCATACAAAGTCTAGTAATATGATAACAATCAGATTTTTTTTGTGAGAAATGGTGAACTTCATGCATGATTCCAAAATTTTCGCCAGAAAAAATTTAAATTTATGTTACGAATATAATGAGGCACAGAAATTCCAGTTCTGCTTTAATTTTAACAAAAATTCTCTCTGGAAGCCGAACACTATACTGCCTGATTTCAGCGGCCGGTGTTATGGCCTCTGCCAACAATGGCTAGCCACCCCTTCCTGGTGGAGAGCCTCCTCCAATGCTATACAATCCTTACAACATTCATATTTAAAATCCTTAACCTCTGAAGACGCAAAACCTTCTAACCCTATCCCCATTAAAGACCTAATATATGTTCACGGAGAACCTACAGTGTTATGGGAAGAAGATATGGATAATATGATCATTCAAGAAGATTTACAATATGCAGTGATAGGAAAGTTTGCTTATGGTTGGCCGGAGTTGGAGGAAATTCGTAGAATTTTGCCTATTCAATATGAGATCAAAGCAGATTGAAAAATAGGTTTCTTGAGGGAAAGGCATGAGCTAATTCGCCTCACTACCTTGGAAGATTATGTGCACCTTATGTCAAAACCTGCTTACTTTCTAAGGGCAAAAGATCGATATTATCAGATGAGAGCATTATATGGAAGCCATGATTAAATCCAGAGGCAGAAACAACCACTGCACTAGCATGGGTGTCAAATCCAGAGGCATGAAGTGGTTTGAATAAGGGGAAAGAAATTCCAAGTTCTTTCATGCTTATGTGAATGGAAGAAGAAAGAGATCGCAGCTGTACAGGATCCAAAATTCAGACACAGTATGGGTGGAAGAACAGACAGAGGTGGCCAATGAAGCAGTGAAGTTTTTTCAAAATCAATTCACCGAGGATAGTTTCCCTGAGGACTTTGAACTATTAGAAAACATTCCAAAGTTGATTAATGCAGAACAGAATGAGAACATGAATAGATCACCTGATGAGGCAGAAGTTAAAGCAGCAGTTTTTGATCCAAGTGGAGAAAGTTCTAGTGAACCAGATGGTTTTAGGTTTTATGGGTCTTTTTTGTCAATCGGCTTGGGAAATTATTAACGAGGATATCATAGTTGTGCATGCTTTTTTTTTGGGGGGGGGGGGGGGGGGGAGAGGGGGAGACAGGAATCATCCAGATCTGTTACTCATACAAATCCGGTTCTGATACCTAAGAAAGATAACATCTAGACCTTCAATAATGTCAGACCCATCAGCCTTAGCAACTTCATTAACAAAGTGATTCCTAGAGTTGTGCATGGAAGAATGATTTTGTTATTGCCCGAGTTGATTTCAGCAAATCAAACAGGTTTCATCAAAGGTAGGACTATTGTCGAGAATATTCTACTAACTCAAGAGATCGTCAGAGACATAAGGATTAGGACCAAATCTGCTAATTTGGTAGTCCAATTGGATATGACAAAAGCTTACGATAGACTGTCATAATTGTTCCTAACAAAGGTCTTAAGAAAGTTTTGATCCTCAGAATTTTGATTGGCATAATCTACAGATTACTAGCCAACAATTGGTATTCATTCTTGTGAATGGCCAAGCTCAGTGTTTTTCCAAATCAACAAGCGGACCCTTTGTCTCCTACACTTTTCGTGATTGCTGCTGAAGCCCTTTCCAGGGGACTTAATGCATTGAATAGACATGAGGTGTTTAAGGGTTTTCGCCTCCCTAAATGGAGTGCAACTATTAATCATTTAGCTTATGCAGATGACCCAATACTTTTTGTATCAGCAGAGAAGAAGTCCGCGAAGCTTATGAATGAAGTACTGAATAAGTATGAGTCAGCATCAGGACAAATGATTAATTTGAGTAAGAGTGATTTTATGTTCATGAAAAAGAATCCAGGAATTGTGGCCATGATAAAAAAAAAAAGTCACTCAAATCAAGCAAGATATTTTTCCTTTTACTTGCTTAGGATGCCCAATTTTGTATGGAAGAAATAAAATTTGTTTTTTTCTTCATCAAAAAATAAAATTTGTTTTCATGACCCCAGGTAGAACCATGGATGTTTGAGTTTTCGGCTTTTCGCCATCGGTTACTGGTTGAGCCACCGGAATGGAATGAGATACGAATCTCTGGAGATCTTTACTCTCCACTTACTCGTAACAGGCTTTTCCTCTGTAGAAGACTTCTTTCGAATGGCATAATTGTCCGACACTACATTCCTCGATCTTAAAAGAAAACTGATTAAAAAGATTGTGAATAGGGTACAGAGTTGGAAAGGAAAACTTTTATCGTATGGAGGGAGAGTTGTGCATATTAATCATACGTTACAAGGCATGCCCATTCACTTACTTTCAGCTCTTCATCCCCCCTTAGGAGTTATAAGGAAGATTCATGGTATTTCTGCGAAATTCTTTTGGAATAATACTACTGAAAAGAAAAGCAGGCATTAGGTGAAATGGGATACTCTTTGTCTACCAAAGTCTGAAGGTGGGATTGGTTTTAGATCTATTTTTGATGTTTCTAAAGCTTTTTCTTTGAGCTATGGAGGAATTTGAGAAGTAAGCCTTCTCCGTGGGGTGCTTTTATGATCAATAAATACAGTAAAAAGTATCATCTAGTAATTGCTCATAGCAGGGGTGCTTCTCCAGTCTGGAAGAAATTAATTACAGTAAGGGAACTTATAGAGCACCAAATCTTATGGCAGATTAGAATGGGAGATACATGTTTTTGGTTTGACAACTGGACTTCTTTGGGAGTTTTATATCATATTATACCAGAAGCGAAGGAAGAGAAGATTGAAGTTAATAATTTTGCAGATGATGAGGAATGGAATATATAAAGATTGAGAGATAATATTACTGAAGACATTGTCCAGAACATTCTGAGAACCATTCCAGCACCAAAGACTACAAATAGTTTGGATAAACCAATATGGATGCTTGAGCACAGTGGAAGATTCACATTAAGGAGTGCATGGGAGTACATTAGACAAAAGAAGGAGATAGAAAACATTTTTGAATTCATGTGGGAAAAAAGCTTCCTTTTAGAATGTCTTTTTTCCTATGGAGAGCTTGGAAATTTAGGGGTCCAGTGGATGATGTCATACAACACATCGGAGTCAATATAGCTTCAAAATGTTGGTGTTGCACTAGGCCTAAAACTGAGACTATGTCTCATCTCTTTCTAACCTCCTCCATAGCTACTAAGCTATGGAGGTTGTTTGCTAATTTTGCAGGGATTCAAATAGAGGCTTACAACTTTCACAAGTTTGCAATAAATGGTGGACATCAGATTGCTGTTCAAAATTAAAGCCACTATTGAGAGTTGTCCCAGCTATTGTGATATGGAACCTCTGGAAAAGGAGAAATAGGTTGAAGCATGGAAAGAGTTCTTCTTACAACAGTCTGGTTTCTAAAGTAAATTCAGATTTATGGAGACATGGGAGAACCACCTATGCTGGACTAAAGATTCCTACAACATGGCCTAATATCATTGATTTTCTGGAAAAGCACACTCCAAGGGTTCATTATATTGCAGTCAGCTGGAAACCTCCAAAAGGATGTCTAGTGAAATGCAACGCAGGAGGTGCATCAAAGGGAAATCCAGGAAGAAGCACTTATGGTTTCTGCTTAAGAGAATGTACAGGAGACTTAGTCTATGCTCAAGGTGAAGATATTCAGGAAAGTACGAACTTAGAGGCAGAAGCTATAGCTATAAGGGAGGCAATCACTCATTGTATTACTGTTGGGATGAACCAAGTCTGTTTGGAAACAGATTCTTAAATCTGAATAAAGATCCTTACTAAAGTTTGGGTGATCCCCTGGAATACTTCAGTCATTATTGGAGACATAATGGATGCATCTCAATTGTGTCGTATTCAAGTTAGACACATTTACAGAGAATGGAAATATGCTTGCAGATTATTTAGCAAACATGGCTTTTGACACTATTGGCAGGTATGAGATTCATAATTTTTCAGATCTACCAAGTCAAGCGAAGAGGATTCTTAATTTAGACAAACAAGAAGTTACTAATCTTCGCATCAGGACCAAAAAGATTAAGCCTTATATCATGTGTGGGGAAGAAGAAGCAGTGTTCATTTCATGATTCAGATCACCTATTACAAGCTCTGCAATATTTAACAAATTTGAAAAAAGCTCAAAAAATCAATCCTCTGTCAACACATGAGGACAGAATCACGGAGTCACCAATTAGAAAAAAAGGAAGAGTTATTTCTCAAGTAATATACAGCAATAGAAGATTGGAGACATCATGCTCAAACACCATCGAAGGATACGGATTACCCAGTCGCAGAAACATCCCTACCAAAATTATAGTTCTTCTTCTTGGGATTTGTAAGAAGAAATTCGAGAAGCCAAGAAATGAAGAAAAGCAGTTAAAGGATATGTATGAACACAACATCTTCAATGGGATGAACTCACCAGCCTCATGGCAGAATGGAATTTCAGTGTTCACATTGAAGAACAAACACAATATAAGCTCGAGCGAGAGACAATAGTGGGTAGGATCAATGACTTGGGCATCAGCCAAAGGAAAATATCAGCTCAGCTAGCAAAGATCAGACTTGGAATGACTGCAGATGCATACAGAACCCTTGGTATCATCTGCCAAATGTTTTGTTCACTATATTCAGATGTTTCAGAGTGTATTATTTTGGTTCTATTTTGTCTCCTTTTTCTATTAGGCTGGCCACTTCTCGGCTGGTCCTTTTGTTATTTTTATTATATCTTGTTGAACTTATCTTCATGATATAAAATGGCTTTTTTAGGCCACAAAAAAAAAAGGAGGCACTGAAAGGAAATAGATAAATTCTAACGTACCTTAGATGTCGTGAATATTGATCAATCAAGGCAGTTGCATACTGGCTTGGTGCATATAAATGACTTGAGTGATATATTTCAGGCAACAAGTAATTGTTGATGTAATCATTGCTCCCTAATCCAACTATGAATAGCCACTTATTCAAGTGCTTTTCAGCTGAAGTTGTATTCCCCACTAAATTAGCTATACGAGAAACTGTTGATTGATGATTCTCCAACTGCCTACCCAAGTAAATGCGATCACCCTGGAAACTAAAATAATTAGAAAAGATCTTCTATGAGTAAATAAGGTTACTTTAGTAAAATATCCCTATAATTAAAGTTTTCTTAAGGGATGTGACAAGTAACCAGGGGCCAATAGTAATATGAATTCCATGGAGAGAGTCTACACATTTTTGCATTGGAAGCTTGGGAGGTAGCCATGTACATATATATGAAGTTAACTACACTTACAAGATGACTTCCGCTGTTATAGCAAATTCCAGCTGAACCAGATGCATAATTTACACCATCCAAGATCTCACTACCTTCTGTCTTTGCAAAAGGGGGATTGTAGAGATCAAATCGCAGGAGTTCAGCTGCAAACATGGAGAAAAATCAAGTAAATCCAGAAAATCTAGGTCATTAGGTAAGTTTGCCCAAGATCGACTAGCTTTATATGGAGAGACAACATTCTCCTCATTCACAATGTGTGAGACATCAATGGTAACCTCACTGAACATCGATCTGGTATTCTGAACAATATAACATGCGACTAAAATGTACGATAACAAAGATATATATATTTGGCTCTGATGTATATACACCGTGTTAAGTTAATAAACCTTAGATTTAACTCAACTCAAAAGCTCACTATAGAATGAGGAATGCATGTCCAAGATCATATAATTAATTACGAATCGTTGTCCATTCTCCTGATACACAATTATTAGTGATCAATACTTGCTGCTTCATGTAGTTAGCGATAAGGAATACAAATTAGAAGAGCAAAGGAATGAAAAGATTTCTACGAGTTGCAGTCAAGTTCCAAGTGATTTGTTTTGAGCCCAAAAATAGATTGACCCTGCAAAGCTGCAGATTTTTTACTTGTATTTTTAGTTCAGGCTCTCCATCACTCAAAATCTTTCAAATTTACTCCAAGAAGTATGTTATAGCACAAATCTGCTTATATTTTCACTTCAAAAGATCTCATTCAAAGAACAATATGAAACCAAAAGTGTCGCAAGCAAGCCATGAAATTGAAAGCCAATACACAAGCAGAACAAGATTGTTTCCAAGTAAAATTGTCGTAACGAGGGAAAGAAGGAAGTTATCAACTAGGATATCTTTAGCACAATTAAGCAACATTATAATTTTACTTCCAAAAACCACGGTGACATATATAAGAGTATGAAGCATAAGTTCAGAAAAGATATGGACATGTCCATTTCCTAAGGTACTCCCAAGTCAACAATTTTCCTGTATACAGAACTAGTCAGTTAGAGGAGCAGCTGGTGGAAGAAAAATATACCTGCACAAGAAATTCTCAGCCAAAACAGTTTGGTATAGGATTTAAATTTTATTACATAAAGCATGCTCCAAATATTCACCAGTATAACAGAAACATGCTGTGTGTTGAGTTTTTTCAATATGATGTTCGGGGGATATTCTTCTTCTTATGTGGACAACTTGATATTTGAAACAGAATCATCATGTCATATTCCATATCAAATGACTTTGTCAATAATTAAAAGAATAAAAGGTTGCTTCAAAGTCACAACTCTCAAAACTCTACTGAAGCTGAAAGTTTCTTCTGTTTCCAGAATGAACAACCCTAACATCACACATGCAGTCAATAGAAAAGGGAATCAAAAACATGTCATGAGCAGATATAGCAAACATTATTGTACACAAGCAGAAGCCAAGAAAATGTTATCATTTTGAACAGATTTTAGGATAAAAGGACATTTTGACAGAAAGAGAGAGAGAAGTGCATATACTGACAAGAGAAAGACTCTACACAATGGGAATATGTACGTGCAAGCAAACCTACAAGAGACAGAGACAGAGTCTGCGAGACAGAGAATCACATCTATTACCTACAAGAGAGAGAGAATATGAGACAGAGAACCACAACTATTACAGGTTTTATATGGTTCATATTTATGAAGATCCGACTTCTGAAAGACAATTAACCCTCCTCCTTTTTCCGGGCTTGGGACCGGCTGCGAAATGGAAGAATCCAAACACAGGCGGAGTTAAAACTATGTTTTTCTTTCTCTAGGTAGGATCAGTATGACCTGTCATCACTTTTGATCATAGACAAGTCACCTTACCATTAAGTCACACTAAGTCACCTTAAAGAGTTGAATTAAAGATTGAAGAATTTGAAACAAGCCTTCATATTTTGGTTTGAAAAGACGAACTGAATCAGTGATAGCTCCTTCAAAACTTTTCAGAATCCCAGATATTCCAAAGAAGGGCACTGGTTCAGACCTAATCAACTGAAATGTAGCTAGTTTTCTATCTTCGGAATGTGTTAGGGGCAAAAGAGGATCAAGTCCAATGAAAGAGCACTGCTCAAGTATAAAATATGACATGAATTAGGTATCACCTACCCCAGCTGCGATTGAAGAATGGATATTTTGAAGAAGTCTTTCAAAGGCCTCCGTCGTCGACCTTCAGTAGAAGCAACCAAGTTATTGGTAGTAGAAATATGGTCCTCAAGTAATTAGAGATACCAGTGAGAATCTAACTGGCTCACCCACTAGCACCTGGGAACTGCAATCTATGAGTGCTGAAAAATATATGGTGTTTTTTCCTAGTTTTGCCCGTCAGCAATGCATGTAAGAAAGTTGCCTTATTCGTTTTTGGTTAGACCGTAGTCTCATGCAGATGGCTGTTTCAGCATGCATCCCTTTCGGACTAAAACAAGGACTCACCCTATTTCAGTCTAGTGAGGGTCCAAAAGACCAACTCCCGTACACCCATTCTCAGCAATGGCGAGAGGAGCCTTCACCTGCCCTTGTTATTGCTTTCATTGTCCCTCGCCAATTTCTTGATCCATATTATCAACTAGATATCCCACACAAGGCACCAAACTTCCAATCTAAAACAAAAGCCTTCTTCAGACTGTAGCGGGCATATAAAGCAGGGCAGATTCCACTTCACCCATGTCAACAAATATGACAGTCGCAGCACTTAACCATCACATGGACTTGGGGTTCAAAAGGTGCAGAGTGTGTGCAATTTACCTCCAATAGATGAATAGCATACACAAAAAATGGAGCTCAGGCCTGAACACACTGCCCTTGAATAGAATTTGTACTGAGATTCACAAAATTAAAAACAAAAGATGGCATTAAAAAGAAAAGATTCATCATTTTTTCAAAGTTGGCTTTTTAAAAAAAGACTTGACACAGTATCTCTCTCCCATTAATTCAATCATTCAAGATAGACCTATGTGACTTATCTTTCAATCTAGACAAATACTGTATGCATTGTATACTATGGACAATACGAAATTCTGAAACGAAAATTCACGGTTCCTAAAAATATCAAACATAGTCAAATGCAACAGCTACACTAATAAAGATTCCTAAAAATATCAAACTGAATCTTTATTTTATGAAGTAAAGTGTGCTTAAGACACCTGCAAGGTTCTGTCTGTACCTCAACAACCGGCACAGGTTGGACTGGTGGCAATCGTCCCCGGGATTCAAGCCAAAATCTGGAGAGTTTCGGCTCGACTTTGATTCTGCGCGACGTGGTACGTCTTCTGTTGTTAATGGTGCGCCTCAGAATCATTCTTCGGAATCTGTTCCAGTCCTCTTCACTGAAGAAATCTTCCTGAATTGGATGCACAATTCTTTTTTTCTTGAACCAACAAATCGCCATAGTTAACAAGAATGAAGAAGCAGGCCTAGACTAAAGATGGATTTCAGGCGAAACAGAAGTGGCCGGAAAACTTAAAGGAAACAGGAGACCGACATTATAAAATAAAAAAAAGTTTTGACCTACTTTGACTTAGGAAATTAACTAATAATAAATTTTTGACCTACTTACCTCACAAAATTAACTAAAAAAACATATTGACCTACTTGACTTACGAAATTAATTAAAAAAAGTTTTGACCTACTTAATTTAGGAAATTAATTAAAAAATAGTTTTGACCTACTTGACTTAGTTTTATATTTCATATAAATTAATACTGGATACATACTTTAACTAAGCGTATTATCTTTAATGGTGCACCCGTCGTCTTTATACCCTGACTTCGCTTCTGCTTTGTCGAAATGGCTTACCGAAAAGAAAAAATTACTTGAATATCGGTTTTATTTTTCTTTTATTTTCAATATCCTCTTTTATTTTTAAAAACTTCTAAAATTCTGTAATGTATTCGAGCTACACATTAATGTACTCGAGCCCGTGTTTAATGTTTTCGAGCTACATATGTTGTATCTGGTTTATGTTATAATGTATTCGAGATACTCTTTAATGTATCTCACCTACATATTATGTATCCGATTTGTGTTACTTTTTAAGAAACTAATTTCATTACAAACTAAAAAGGCATAGATTATAATTATATATTAAAATTATGGGATTTATGTAAGTTATACTTATTATTATTATTATTATTATTGTTGTTATTATTATTTATTTATTTCCTTTGTCCATTTTTAGGTTATTCATTATACTAAAAATAAATATCCTGTTTGAAATATTAAGAACTAATTTGTCATTTTATGGGTATATTGAGTTTTTAAAGTTATCGTCAATATGTCATTGTCTTTTTTTCACAATTCCAAACTTAAAAAAATAGCAAATATAAACGTGACTCTAGAGTTTCAGAATTACAAAAATAGTAAGCATAGAAATCTATTTTGTCCTGGATACTAAATTTATTTTTCATATATTTTTTAAAATATTACGTTTATAATAGTAATGTTATCATTTTATTGATTATTTTTAATTGAATTTATTGTTACAAATTTGATTAAAGATAACTTTTTCTTGCTAACGTCTTATTTGAATAATAGATGCATAACAATTGTCAAGCACTCGTCAAACTTATGTAATTTAATGTTTATAGATTAGTTAAACTCTATCAATTTTAACACAAGGTCTCATAAAAAAAATTCTTCATTAAAAAGTGGGGACTTAAAATACTAACATATTATGATTAAAACAAAGCAAAAAGCACTAAAAACATATTAAACACTTGTGATTACATCTTATAGTAATTAAAGATGTCAATTCCACAATAATTAATATATAGAGTATTTGATATTTAATCAAGCTTGAGCTAGACGACTAATATCATAAGGATATGCATCAGATGATTTTTGAGCTCTATATGATCTCCTCCCGACAACTATATTTGCAGCTTCAGTTGGATGAAATGCATCCCAAAATAGATATTCATTCCTATTTCTGCATGGCCTTTGGAAAGGAAGACACGTAATTTGTCCGTTGTTCCTCCCTACCCCACAACATCCGGCATTTGTCACTCTAAATCCTGAAATTAATTAGTAGAGTCGAATAATTAAAAAAAAAAAAACATATGAAAATGTAAGGGGAGAATTAGAAATATTGAAAAATATTACCAAAGGCAGCAGGATTTTCAATTAAGTCTTGGAAGATTCCATAAGCATCAATGTAGATGAATTTTGCATCAGGTGTATTTCCATTCAAATTATCAACAAGTGCCTTGAGTTTATTGTTGAATAATTGATTTGCTACATTGATTCTTTGTACACAAGTTCTCCCATCTGGGCTGTTTTGGGCCAATGCATTTGGGCTGCACCCTATCTGGCCCACTCCAATCAAAGCAAACTTCCTTGCTCCATTACTATATAAAATCTAGGATCACCAGAAAACATATAATTATTAATAAGAAGTGATTGTTTTTTTTTTTTTTGAAGAGCGAGTAGACAAATAAAAGTGAATAGAAGAGGAGGGATACAACTTACCTTTAGTTGTTGAGTATATTGTTGAATAAGAACAGTAGCATATTGATCAGGAGTGAACTGTCTGCTGGTGGGATAATAAAGAGGCATAAAATAATTATTGAGATAATCATTGCTGCCTAATCCAACTGAGTAAATGCATTTTTTAAGATAATCAGCAGCTGCATTTTCATTTCCTAATATTTGCACCACTTGTTGCACTGTGTTCCTGTAATTATTCACTTGTCCAGAAAAACTAATTCTTCCTCCCTATAAAAATTTCATTAAAAGTTTAACAAATTTTAATTAAACCAAAAAAAAATTGTTTTAAAAAATAAGTAGAATAAAAATGAATGTAGTACCAATTGTCTGCCAGTTTCATCTCTAATTCCAGCAGCTGCAGAAGCATAATTGACACCTCTGAGAACATCTCTGCCCCTAGCAGTTGCATAGGGTGGAATATTACCATTGAACCCCAATTGTTCCGCTGTAAAATGTAACATAATTAATCTCAAATTTTATTCTAGCAGATAACATGAGTCTCGGATAATAAGCATCCTCCACCTCCAACTCTAACTTTTATCAATACGATCACCTTTGATATTAGGGACAAAGGTGCTTGGTGAATTCTAACATATATATGAAATTTCTTATTACCAAAAGATGAATTTGTTATATATCATAAAAGGAGCAAGAGATATTAGTGTACAAGTTTAAAGAAAATAGATATGATTTGAATTTGATTTTATGATGTAATACTAATTAACATAATTTCATACACATTGGATCCCAAACACAAATTTGTAACAAATTTTGCTTATTTGAATTAGCCCTACTGTATATTTTCAATAACTTCATATCAAATCAAAACTAAATATTTCATATCGTAAAGTAACAAATTCACCATATAGGTATTAACAGGTGCACGTGCAAAATCATACTATAGTAAAAGTTCCAATAATTTTAAAAAAAAGTTTATTCACTATCTTAAAATTCTGAATCCACTCCTTACAAACAAAGAAAAGAAATCATGTGTTACCAATGACATCAACAGTAGTTTTTCCATTAGAGAATCTCCCAGTTGGACCTCCAGAGAAATCAATACCATAAGGCAAGTAGTTAGCCTTAGCCAATGACTGAATATTGTTGTTATTCCCATTATCAACCAAAGAATCACCAAATATGAAATAACAAGGCACTTGTTGTGCATTTGTTTCATAATAATCTCCCAAACTCATAAACCCTAAAAGCACCACCAATATACATCTCCTCATCTCACTACCCATTTTTGAGACCCTTAGCTTTAGAAGTAGCTAGGCTAAGTAGTTAGTTAAAGTAATGAGTAGTGGGATGAGAAAAATTGGAAAAATGAATGACTATATATAGATGTTGAAAGTCATATATAGAGAGACAAAAAAAAAAACTTAGAGATATATTTAATTTTGTCAAAATAAATTTATGTAGGTAGTATAACTTTTACAGATGAGAAGTTAGTTAGATAGCATTAAATTTACGCGGAGCTTGTAGATTTTCCCACTACGTGTATTTTGACTTTCTAAATTATCACTCTCTTTGCGTGGAGATAATTAAGTACTACTTAATTACCTCATATATGAACTAATTAAAGTTCACGTGTGTTAATGCATATATATATATATCTAACAAAGTATTTAATTAGTGAAGGGTACTAATTAAAATCGAAAAATGTCATCACCTCGATTGATCTTTGTACATTAATTATACAGGGACATGTCAATATTATTACTCATTAACAGCTATACACTAAAACGATTACGTTATATATATATATATGTAACGTAAAGTTCAGTCAACATGTATGGTGCAATTCAACTATATATATATATACATAACGTAAAGTTCAGTCAACATGTATGGTGCAATTCAACTGATTTTACAGATTACCTATTCATATATGTATGAGGTAACTAAGGTTGTTCATGGTTATGAAAATCAAATTGGATTGCAATGCGAACCAAATGGATTAAAATAGTTCATGAGATAATAAGATTTCCGCAGAGAATACGCGTGTAGTAGAAAATTCGGAGGTTGGGGATCATTTGGCCATTTCTCACTGACTAGATTGATTTGGTTTTGATTTTAACCAATAACCGATTCAAATTGAACCACGAACACCTGCTCTAAAGCGTACTCGGCTAGGTAGAATGAAATTAGGTAAATAACCTAATTGAGTGCACATGTATAAATTAACTTTTACACCATTTTCTCTACATATTCACACTCCTAATCAAAGAAATTGGTCAACGGTACTACTGGATCAGACTGGCCAACGGAACGGGACGTACCGATGCCGGTACCGATTACGGTCCGGTTCGGTCCGATTCCGATCCGATTTACTTAATATATATTAATTTTTTTATATTTTATACTTTATGTAATTTATATTTATATTCAAAATTAATTTATTTTATAAATATAACTTATAAAATAAATATTAATGAATATAAGTAATAACTTATAAAGTATAAACTTCAAAAGATTTAAATTTTGAAAACTTTATTAGACTTTACTTGCAAACTTAACAATAAAAAAAAATTAATAAAATATCTTTAAAATAAACTGTTGTAAAAAATTATAGTATAAATTTAAAAACTATTAACTTATACTTAGAAAATAAAAATAATAATTATATTTTTGTAATCCCAAAAAATATCGTCCCGTTTATCCCGTTTCGTTCTATCCCGGTCCGTTCCGATTCCATCCCAGTATATAGTGGAATGGGACGGAAACGATTATTCATCTCGATAATTCCGGTCCGGTTCATCCCGATATCGGTCAACATACCGGTCAACAAGTTCCGTTCCGTTCCGGTACCGATTCCGATCCGATGAACCGGTTCCGATCCGTTTACCAGTCTTATGCTGGACATGCAAATCAATTCATCACAACCTCCCAACTACTAGGTAATTAAGTTCATAAAATGATTCTGCGCATTAAAGCCCAAAGTGCATATTACAAAGTCTCAATCATGAGTTGTCAATGATTCATGAGCAACCCATGAATTGATCAAAGTCTACTACTATCACTTGCCTCAAATCTTTGGTTTGACTTTGTTTGCACTTTAATTTTCCCCACAAGAAAATGAAGCAACAGTAAAGAGGAATGGCCCAGAAGATATATAAGATCATCTAGTACTCATGCATTAAGCTAGCTAGCTAGAATAGAGACATGCCATTAGTGCAAAATTTTGGGAAGACTTAGTCATAAGGTGTACAAATTAAATTCATGAATTAAACATATATTGGGTAAGGAGAATGGCCGACTTTATTATATATTTATGAGGGGAAGTGATGGGATGTGATGGAGATACTTATTTTGTTTTATATTAGTGGTTCATATTACTAAAAATAGTTATCGAGATTAATTGTTAATTTACAAAATTATGAGAGAATTATTTTTTCATTTTACCTTTATAATTACTCTAATTCTTTTTGGAAGTCTATAGAAGTAATTTGTAAAGTTCTAAAAAATTATTTATAATTTCTTCAAAGACGTGTAAAGAAGAAAGTGAAAAATTAATATGAGACGGAAGGAATATTCAAAAATTTGATACCGTTGCCAGTCACATGGATTTGAAAAATTAATGTAGTTAGGATACATAAAGTTATGGGATCAATATTAATATCCTTGAGCAGTTGGCCAATTTGAATTTGGCTTCACAATCTATTTTCTAATTTTTTTAAAATAATAGTAATAATTAGGGATGGGTTACTTTTAAGAAAAAAAATAGTAGAAAGCCTAACCAAACAAAAGGTGGATCATAATTCAATTGGAAGTTTAGTTGAAAGATCAAGGTCCTTAGTTAATAGTTAAATTAAGTGCCAATCAGTTTAGTTCTTAATTAGTTAAGTAGAGGTTTTAAAGACCTTTTTATAAACTCAAATCAATATATTTTGTACTCAGTTCTGCTTTTTTTTTAAAAAAAAAAAATTTTTTTACTAATATTAAGAGTTATTTCAAACTTTGATCATCTAATCATGACACGTATATATCGCAATTTTAGCTATATAAAATTTATCAATGTCATAATGATTAAAATCATAACATAAAGAATGAAAAATTATATATATTTGGAAGTGCTGAATAAGTTTAATTCCTTTATATATTTGGCATATATGTTTGATATAGTGTATTATATATATACACACATACACACACTTAATTAGAGGGTTTTGTGTATTATTAGTATTTGGTCTGATATACTTTTTCAATTTATATTATTTATATTTTTGTGTATTATTAATACATGAATATTTATGATATTAATAATGCAGAACATTTTAGTACACCCATATTAGCAATGGTTAGAGACCTAATCATCACTCAATTCTTTTAAAATTCTAAATGATATGATAATTTTAGTGATTAGCTCTTATTAATTAGTTACAGTACATTGGGTCCACTGCTTCATTTATGTGATTGGTGATTATGTTACTTTAATTAGTGTTACTGCAAATTTATTCCTCTTTGATATCACAATAATATAAACCAAATGAAAGAGGTAATTTAAATTGAAGCTCATAAGTCATAATTAACATACAAATGATACTACTATGATTTTTATATTTAAAACTTGAGACTGATGTCAACTAAGCAAAAAGATGAAAAATTAATTTTTTATTTTTCAAATTCATTCACCTTTCTGAATTTTTATTTCTGCATTTCCATTTTAGGTTGGGTTGGATAGTTCTTAGTTGAATTTGTATTTATTAGATTAAAAATAAAGAAGCAAACGGGTAGAACTCACATGTCATAGTAACCATAACATTTCTCAAATAATAAAATTAATTATTATCAACTCATAATACATCATAGAACACAATAATACAAATTCCACAAAAATATATATATTTTTAGCTTCATCTCTTATCTTCATAGTTGAGCTAAACGCTGAATATCAAAAGGATAAGCATCTGATGATCTTTCAGCTCTATATGATCTTCTCCCAACAACTATATTTGCAGCTTCACCTGGATGAAATGCATCCCAAAATACATATTCATCTCTATTTTGGCAAGGATTTTGTAGTGGAAGACATGTTATTTGCCCGTTATTCCTTCCTACTCCACAACATCCAGCATTCGTTACTCTAAATCCTGAACATTGTCAAAAAGTCAAGTTTGTCAATACTATTTTTTTTTAAGTCTGTTTATTAAAAAAAAATGACTCGCATGAGAAAGAAATATTTACCAAATGCTGAGGGATTGTCAATTAAATCTTGGAAGATATCATAAGCATTGATGTAGATGAATTTTGCATCTGGTGTATTGCCATTGAATTCATCCACAATACCCTTTAGCCTATTGTTGAACAACTTGTTTGCATTATTTATATTTTCTGCACAGGTTCTTCCATCAGGACTGTTTTGGGCTAGAGCATTTGGGCTACAACCAATTTGGCCCACTCCAATTAAGACAAACTTCCTTGCTCCATAGTCATACAAAGTCTGATGTAAAAGCCAATTAGATCTTTTATGATATTATCTCTAATATTAAAACGCAAGTACTTTACTTTAAACATGTTATATGTTTATCGATTACTTTTAATCAGGTGATTCAAACTCACCTTTAGTTGTTGAGAGTATTGTTGAATTAGAACATCAGCATATTGATCAGGATTAAATTGTCTGCTAGTGGAGTAATATTGAGGCATGAAATAATTATTGAGATAATCATTGCTGCCTAATCCAATTGAGTAAATGCATTTGCTCAAATAATTAGCAGCAGAATTTTCATCTCCAAGTATTTGCACCACTTGTTGCACTGTGTTCCTGTAATTATTTACCTGACCACCAAACGTAATCCTTGCTCCCTATAAATATTTTGTGAACGAAAAAAGTAGCAACAGTATGTGAATATAACGTGTTATTAGAAGTTAAAAGACAGACTAAAAGGGAAAGTATGACAAATGAATTAAAACGAAGAACACGGTAAGTACCAATTGTTGACCAGTTTCTTCTCTAATTCCAGCAGCAGCAGATGCAAAATTAACACCTTTGAGAATGTCTTCACCCCTTGCAGATGCATAGGGTGGAATATAATCATCGAACCCCAAAAGCTCAGCTGTAAATTAGTTTAAACATATTCAATATTTATATTAAGTTTTGATCACTATTAATTACCATTTTGATCACTTATGTTACTAATTTTTAAAAAAATGAAAAGATATGTCGAATTATACCTTTCTTTTCTAGGAAAATGCATATATAGTCCTTTAAGTTGTCATCAACTCTACTCAAGTAATAAGATGTTATACACACCTTTGCCGTCAATTTATGTGTCACGTCTTTCTTTTTTAGTCCTCCCTTAAACATGTCATTTTATTATAATTAGAAGCTACATTCATTTATTTGTTCATATTTTCTCTTTTAGCTGTTTCTATTTACTTGTCTATTTTGACAAATCAAGAAATGACAAAAAAATATATATTATACCCTCATTTAAACTTCTTGAATTTTTTAAAGTTTTAATTCATTATTTTTGAAATCATACTTAATAAGGGTAAAATGATAACTTAACTGTGCTAATCATTGTTGTTTTAATAGGTGTATCATTTTTAAAGTGGACAAATAAATAAGGACAGAGAGTATATATGTTACACAAATGTCTAAGGTTCTAGATCACAAAATTCAGAAAACCTTTTTTCTTTTTTAAATTTTATATCAAATCAAATAGTGCATGTCACATAAGTTGAAACAGAGAAAGTATAACACACATTAGAATACTTTTAAGTGAGATGAGATACTAACCAATGACATCAACAGTTGTTTTTCCATTGGAAAACCTTCCAGTTGGACCATCAGGATAATCAATACCATAAGGCAAGTAATTAGCCCTAGCCAATGACTGAATATTGTTGTTATTCCCATTATCCACTAATGAATCACCAAATATAAAATAACAAGGCACTTGTTGTGCATTTACATTTACCCCCAAATTCAATCCTAAAACTACCACTACATACACCACTATCCATCTCCTCTTTACTTCCCCAGCACCCATTTCATCAAACAAAAAGAAGCTAAGGGGGAAGAAAAAAAATGTATAGTATACTAGTGGAAAATTGAGTAGCTTGAAGAAAAGTTTCAAACAATTGTCTAATTATATAGTATACTATATTATGTGTTTTGAGGTTAATGAGCTAGTCATTTTAGAGAGTGTGACGAAGACTTCAATTCATTGATGAGAAGTTAGTTGAATGCATTTATTTTCACGCGGCTGAGATAATGTGAGCAGTTATAGAATCCATTTATATAATTCATCCGTTCATTTTTTACTTGTGCATTTTGAATTTCGCATGTTCTTTGAAAAATAATGATTGATATAAGTATTTTATCATAGTATTCAGTATTACATTTTGAAAATGGATAAGACTAGAAGGAGTACTCATGTTATACGCCTTGAAGAATGATTTGGAAAATGATAAATAATTAATGTTAAGAGTAAAATATAAAAAAACATGTTATTGTTTTTATATATTAAAGAGGAAGTCCAGAAATAAAAGTGATCATTTATTTTTAGAATAATGAACGAATAAAAATGGACGATGAAATGGAGTAAATGCAATGTCTCTCTGAAATTGATGTACATGTGCATGGGAATTAGTTTCTGAACTAACAATTTAATCTTGGTAGAAATGAACTGTGAATTAATTATATTCCATGGGTAGCTCATAGCTGCTAAACAAATCATATTACTATATTATCAATGATTGTAAAATATGGGTAATGGACGTATCACAATTATTAATCCAATGCTGTCAGACTTTGATTTATGTGACACACTTTTGTTTTAATATTCGCTCTTATATGATCACGTAAGAAAATTATCATTATAAACAATTAATCAGTAGAAAATCCAAAAAATAATTGGCTAGTTATACGTTTGTTAACGCACAAAATATATACACGTTACATGTGATGTACACAAAAATTATTAATTTAATTAAACTTACTCGAAACCTCTTATTAAGTTAGACTTTAACCGACGTGGCTTATCGGAGAGAAAGTAAATGAGTAGTAACTACACATTCAAATTCAAATTCAAATTAGGGTTAGAAGAGAAAGGTGTATGAAGCATGTTGCATTGAAATGTTGTTGAAAAAGTCAAGTTAAGACTTGGTGACACAAATATGGAGAGGGGAGTGGAGAAATAAATTTGGGTGTTGGAATTTAATTATGGGAAGTTATGAAGATATAGATTAGGGACCCTAGAGAATTTAATGCACATTTTATTCACATGGTTTTTGAACATAAATCAAATTAAAATGCCGACATATCTTATCAACTCTAATGGTATTTCCATCTATTATTTATTTATAATAAATAAAAATGGTGTTTTTGAATATGAATTGGATTTTTAATTTTACTTTTTTAAGAATACGAATTTTGGGACTGGATATCAATTATCAAATTTAGTACTATGGATTTTCAGACACTTAATTATACAAAAAATAAAATAAAATAATGTGTTATATTCAATCTACACATATCATATGTATGTCTAATCCTAGTTTATGTCGTGTTTGTTCTTCAGGACTAGGATCATAGAATGGGAAATGGAAGTCGGCTTATACAGATTTTAGGATTAATCTACATACAAGTTCTATCAATGAACTATATATCACTTGTTAAACATAGATAATTATATTGCTTAATTGCATTTTCTGATCGCAAAGTCTATAAAAAGAGGTCAACACTAATTAAATGTTTCTGAAACTCATTCAATATGATCCTATAATAGCTTACAAGAGAAATAATACACACCAGATAAGTCCGATGCGATAAATCGACCCAAAAAGACAAACCTTTAACTTTGGCCAGGGACTTCCTTGAGGCCTGTATACTTTTTTATTAATTTTTACTCGTCACATCTAGTTTCTAGTTTCATGAGAATCAATTTGACTAATTTTTAAAATTAAATTAAATTAATTTAATATTTAGAAATTTGAAAACTATATAAAATGATTTACAAGTTACAATCATTTTAATATTAATGGGATGAAGACACACGTAAAATATTAGTCAAAGTTTATAAAATTTACCTTTCAAGAAGCAAAAAACGGGACGAGTAAAAATGACGAGGAGAAAGCAATTTAATTAAATGGATGTTTCACTATACAAGTTTAACACATATAGATGAATTCTTTAAAATGCACAATCAATAACTCTCTGGAGAAATAATAACCTAAATTCTCACACTAATTCTTATCCAAATGGGATTTGTTGTCTTCCTACTTGATAAAAAAAGTCATGAGCATGACATCGACATATCCTTTCATGGCGTTAATAACTTAATAAATGCATTGTCTTTATAATAAATAATTTTTCAACCATGAAAAATGTCAAAATAAGAGTACACCCAAGATCCAACATTAAAAAAAAAAAACTCTCATTATGATAAAGCACATGCTAGGTATACATGTTTATAACCTTCCAAAGTCAAACTAATTAATAGGCTTGTCCATTTTTAGACCGTTGATCAACAAGTCACTTAAAGTACACAAGCCTGGAAACAAAAAATTCAGCTTCTTCTACATTGAGCTTTTACACCTCTGTTAGTACTGTACTGTAGAGCAACAAAACTTGTTACAGAGTTAACCATAATACCTTGGTTTCAACTTCACTCAGTCACAGATCTGCTCGCGTTGAGAAAGTAGAGGTATATTTTGAAGAAATATCCTTCAAAACTGTGAGCAGGCCCTTCAAATCAGTAGAACCCAATTCAAGGCAGTCCTTAAGCAAATCACCTTCTAATACTTCCTTCTGAAGTGTCTCCATGACTTCCTTCAGCGGACCCTGCTTCAAAATAAAAAAAATAAAAACAAACATAGACCAAGTGCACAACAACAGAGTCGACATACATTCAGTTTTCATCCTCGCGTTCTGGTCCATGCTACTTCCTTTTTTTTACCTCCAATTAAGATATTCATGATTCTCTGTTTTGGTGATTTAGGGGGAAAAATAAGCATAAAATCATTTATATGATAATTTCATCAGTATCCCGTACTAGTCGAGTTTCCTGTGTGCTCAAGACAAGACTAATAATGTCCCATACTAGTTCCATTTTACTGTGTGCTCAATATGAGCATCAATTCAAGCATACAACATAGCTAAAGATGAATGTTCCCAGAGTGTATTAATTATTCAAGTTGGAGGTGAATGGAAAATTTGACCAACTATTATTGCAGGTTTGACCTACTTATAGTAATTTGAAACATCCAATTTGGAGGCCCAAGAATTGGCAGGCCGTGTATTAAAAATCTCGATCAAAATAGAGAGATAAATTGCACCAATCTTCAGTAAACTAACAATCAATAACCTCAAAACTTTTTGATGAACAACTGAATGAAGAAGGGGCAAAATTTAACTCTAAACTCCTTTCTTGTCTAATACGATCTTTTGATCTTCAAAAACAGTCAAATTTAAGTTTCACATTCCCAAGTCCCAACATGTTAGCCATGTTCTCCTCTTTCAAATTTATTACTTTACCTGTCCGATTACGACACCCTAGAGAACTTCCTTGGTTATGGTTACCATTTCTTGTTTCCCAAATATGCATAACTTTGTCATTTTACATTTTTATTTTTATTTTGGTTTTGGTTTGTAAGTCTTCACGCCAATCAATTATATGAGCAATTCAATATCTAGGACAAGATACCTATCAAAGTTCTCACTTGATCCTGAGAGTCTATAGTCTATGCTTCTTGCTTTGTTGACAATAATCATTGGTCGTTTGTTTGATTGGTCTCAGAATATTAACTATAATATCTCTTTCAAATTTGCAACTTTTATTTATAAAGTAATCAAAGACTTTGTAAATGCTACCACTAAGCCCGTGCGATAAGACATAACTTCGATACAATGAAGTTAGAACTTCCTTAGTTTGGTGTCCATGATGGTCACCCTCCCATTATTTCCTCAGTGTGTAAAAGAACATTATCATTTTAATTTTTAACTGTTTTCAAGGATTTTGTTTGTAAATTTATAGTTCAATCAATTGCATGGAATTCAATCTCTAAACTGAAGTTACAGGCTTATAGCAGAGGCATCAAATTTGCACAATGCGTAGCTACACATATAAGTTGTACCCAAGATTGATCAGACACCAGCAGAGCTTTCACCTAACATTTAGCACATCAAAGTGGTGGCATTGGAACCTAGATACAGAGCTGCTTCTACTATACTCATTACTCCCTCAGTCCAAAATAAGTTTCGCTTTAGCAAAAGCAAATTGTCCGAAAATAAGTTTCGCTTTAAGAATTCAAGACAAAAAGTTGTAATCTTTCCAACTAGAACTTCTTCTTAATAGTGCTCAATTCACAAGAAACATTTAAGTTCTATCCATTAGTGTGGTCGAAAGGATGTCTCTGTAGAATGTAAATATGCCAATACTGTTCAACTAATTAACCTAAAAATATAAAAGTAGAAACTTACTGGTTGTCGAAACACCTTCCGAAATTTACCGAAGAGAGATTTCGAAACTCTGAAAAGATTTTCATAATTTCGATTCATCCAGTTAACCCTTTCCCTATCTGAACTGACACTTGAAAAGTCGCTAAGACCACGCAGAATTTCATTCAGATCAGAGAAAGCACCGAATATTTCAAATGACGTAGCATCTCTCCAAGCATAATTTCGAGCATAATCCCAACCCACGTTCCACATGACTTTCCAGAAACCAATACCCATACCATTCTCTAGTTTTTTAGCAATGGATCGAGCTCGGGCAGCGCCATCATAGTCTCCGCGAGCTTGCCGGAGATTAGCGACGCGGGAGAATAGCGAGTGAGAAAGAGAGAAGACGGCTTGGTAGTTGGAAAATGGGAAAGAAAAGGAGGAACAAGGTGATGGCTTAGAGAGAAGAAGGAAGAAGAGTAAGAGAAGAAAGATTGAGGGAGTCACGTCGGTTCTCCGCATCGCCGGTAACGACGGTCGCCGACTAGCCGGCCGGTTGAGAACTGTCGAGATGTTAGCCGGACCAAAAAAGGAAATCAAGTAGACGTTTGAGTTTCCTTAGCGCTCTTACGTTGACGGCCCAGTCCAATCCAACTCAGTTTTAGCGGGCTGGAAAGACTTTAGAAGGGCCTCGAAAAGAGCATCTTACATAATTGTACAATTGATATACAATAATTATATAACTATATTTATTATATATATGTATATACATATAAATATGTATTGTTTATATTTGAATAATACATGATACTTAACTTGGCATCCGCAAATTCAATTTGAATGTGCACACACCCAAAATTAAAAATTAGAGTTGTCAACTGACATTAAGTTATTATGCCTTTATATTTCATAAAAGTTGTATATTTTAGATTGTGAATGCATGATGTAACTATTCATGTATTTATGAAATGTAATATAGTTACTATATATATTAAGTGAGTAGATGAAAATAAGCTTTCATAATAATAGACGAAAAGATTGAAAAGCTAAACCGTAAGATACATAATCTATCAAACCTTTCAAGCGTATGAGATTCTTGGGAAAATTTGTGCATTTTTATCCAAATTGAACAATATAATACATTGTTGAGAATATCTTTGAGCTAAAAGAACACAATTACTAATATTAAAGTCTAGGTTTAACAGGAAGAATATGACGATGACAAATCATAGGACTCGACGAAAAAACTAATTGCAAACGTCTATTGCTAAAAGATACTCGAGTGATGTGGTTATGACACAATAAATTTTTAAAAAATCGACTCGTGGATTATGATAATGAGCCACATGAAACTTAGTTCAAAGGGGTGATTATTGTGTAGACAAACAGAATGTGACATTGAGTTAAAAGATTGAGAAACTATACTAAAATACACGATTTCTAAATGTTGTAAATTTTTTTATTTCAAAAAATATTTACGCTTTATCCAAAACAAACAATATCATACTTTATTAATAACGTGATTGCTCTCCTAACAAGAGTGAAAAAAAGGTTTACATTACCATTTAACACTTTCATAATCACAATTTATACTACATTATTTTTTAGAAAATATGATTTTACTATATTTGAAAATATTTGTGATTTTATTTTAAAGGTTTGTTGAGAGTTGAAGAGTTGAGTCCCTATGTGATTAAAAAAGAAGCTTTTTGTGTAGTACCGTTGGGGTGCCAACAAAGGAGAAAAACAGGTGCGCATCTTGCATTGCATGGCGAAGAAACCCGTGTTCCTCACAAACGCTTTCTTCTATCTTTTCACTCTCTTCAAAGGGTTTGGATTTTCTGTAATTTGACGAAACCCCTCTTTGTTCCTTTCCTCCATTTTTCTTTTCTGTAATTTTTCACATTTTTCCTCCCTCCCTCCTTACATACGTACAAATTGTTGACAACTTGCTTCTCCTGTCTCTATATGGACTGCCTGCTTTACACTTCTAAATCCCAATTTCTCATTTGGGTCTTTATTATTATTATTCTTATTGGGATTGACGCTGCTGAAGATGGAGTCGATTGAAGATACCCACATTTCTCAGAACAATTTGGTACTCTTTAAAATCCAATCCCCCCTTTTAGTTTTATTGCCCATTCTTGTTCTTATGCATTGAGTTTTTTTTTATGGGGTGTTCTTGATTTCTGTATGAGTTTTTTTTTTCAAGAACTGTATAATGTTATTCTTGGTCTAATATGGATATATTGATTTTTTTTTTCTTTCAAGAACTTCACTTTTAGGAAGAATTGAGATTGATATGTTGTTGTGCATTCATGCTATGAGTTAGTAATATTGTAGGAAATTACTGTTTCATTACTAAAGGAAACAAATTATTGTAAAGATTAGTTCTTTTCTTTTTTTTCTTGGAAAGTATTCCATGCAATAAACTTGCTCTCATGAAATGTATATACTTAATCTCTGTGTTTCTGTTTGATTGGTTTGTATATATAAGAAGTTATTTTTCTTTATTTTTTAACTTCAATTTTTGTGAACAATTGGTTCTTGTGTGAATGATTCTTTCCCCTTTTTGGATGATATTTGGGTGCCTTGTGCATTTGTCTGATTAGTCATTAGCCAGTTCAGCCTTATTTTGCTATCAAAGCAATGGTAAATTCCTTGAAGCTCACAACTTTAAGTTAGTTTCCTTATACTTGAATGAGTTTTATACTGTCACTGTTAACTCGAGAAATGTACTATGCTGTAACTTGTCACATTGTCCTGTTTGATCAATATGGAATTTGTTCATTCTTTTAAGTGATAGAAAAAAGTTGTTTTTTCATAAGTGCATCATCTGACAGAGTGTTGTGATGTTTTTGTGAAGATGACCTGCTTTGTGAATAAATAAATGCATCATATGATTCATGTTTTGTACTAATTCAATTCAAATACAGATCCTACAAACATCTGGAATCAAGAATAGTTATGATTCTACTGTTCCATCTAGATTGGAAAGGCTCTTAAGAGAAAGGGAACTAAGAAAGTCAAGCAAGTCTCAAAATGCAAATGAAGGCGTAAGAGATGGCAACAGAGACTCAAATGTTTTTGGAAATGGAAATGAATTCTGTCTATCAGATGGAGATAGAAGGGTCCGAGAGGGAGAGCTTATTGAAGGATTTGCAGGATCATCCCTTGCTAATGGCTTCGAGAGGCAAGATGGGCGGTTACAAAGACAGAGATTATTGGTTGTGGCAAATCGGTTGCCTGTTTCAGCTGTTAGGAAAGGCGAGGATTCATGGAATCTAGAAGTTAGTGTAGGAGGTCTAGTTAGTGCTCTGTTGGGTAAGCCAAAAAATATAATGCTTTATATAAAAAAACATGACTAGCGAATTTTGCTGTTGATATTTTCTTTTTCTATGTTAGCATTGTTCATTTCCTTATTTTCTTAACTTATCTACTACATTTGAGCTTCAGTGGGGTTCTTATCTCTGGTATGTGTGCTAATTGATGCCTTCTTATTTTGTTAAAGGTGTCAATGAGTTTGAAGCAAATTGGATCGGGTGGGCTGGGGTGAATGTAACTGATGAAATTGGTCAGAGATCACTTACTGAAGCTCTGGCTGAAAAGGTTTGTAAAATAGGCACCATTTTAAATTCTTGATGTAGCACTTGTCAACAAAGTGATATGTCTAGAGCCTCCACTTCCGTGTACCATCTATCACAACAACATTAATAAAACACTTGACTTCATCTAAAAGATCTTACCTAGATGCTCTATCTAACTTATGATCATTATTAACTACTATGATAAAAGGTTGAACTTTGATGTGGTTGCAGAGGTGCATTCCAGTTTTTCTTGATCAAGAACTTGTTCACCAATATTACAATGGTTATTGTAATAACATTCTATGGCCTCTTTTCCATTATCTCCCACTTCCGCAAGAAGACCGTCTTGCAACGACCCGCAGCTTCCAGTCTCAGTTTGCTGCATACAAGGAGGCAAACCAGATGTTTGCTGATGTCGTCAATAAGCATTATCAAGAGGGTGATATTGTTTGGTGCCATGATTACCACCTGATGTTTCTACCGAAATGCCTTAAAGAGTATAATAGTGAAATGAAAGTTGGTTGGTTTCTTCACACACCTTTTCCTTCATCTGAAATTCACAGGACACTGCCATCTCGATCGGAGCTGCTGAGAGCTGTACTTGCTGCTGATTTAGTTGGGTCAGTCCACTTATCTCAATTCATAATACTTCTAACATGTTATAAATTTCTGAGATATTGCAAACAATTATAACTTTGAAATTATGGCAAGTAAGACGATGGGAGTAATGAAGTGGACAAGCCAACGTAGAAAAAGCACACGAGATGCTTACCTCTTGTACCAAGGAATGTTCTTGGTGGTGTTGTACCAACTACCAAGAGATGTTAGACCTTAAATGAGTCTTCAGGAAAAGATTATGAGCAGTCTTAAGGATACAGAACATAACAAGATTGTCGGTGAACGTGTAGATTAGTGTAAGCAGCCATTTTAGTCAATGCCTATTATTGGGGGGAGTGTTCATCATATAGTGAGCAAATACTGTGGTAAAATAATAAGTGACAAAGTAATGAGTTGAGAATGAAAGGCATTGTTAAGAAAAGCAAACTGTTCATGTTTTTTTGCCTCGAGAGGCTTAAGATGGAAAATTCTTATCGTTGTGATAGTGATGCATAAATGGGGGTCTGAGAAGCATTTCTTAGGGAAACGAAGGTCTTGTGTTTTCAAATACTACCAGTAAATTTAGTAGGCGGATAAGTGCTTCATTAGAAGCACGAAATTCAGCTTATTTAGAATCCATGACTGTTTTGTCAACTATGATGATTTCGTCCTTCATAATCTTTCTTTAAGAAGATTTGGAGTGTTCTTCCGTATATTAATAGTTTAGCTGACTCAGGCTTTGTCTTTTTTATCTTGTCTCCAGCTTCCACACTTATGATTATGCAAGACATTTTGTTAGTGCTTGCACTCGCATTCTTGGGCTTGAGGGCACACCTGAAGGAGTAGAGGACCAAGGACAGCTAACACGTGTAGCTGCGGTATATGAATCATTTATTAATAGCCTAAAATCTTTTATATTTTTTCTTTTTCATCACTTGCACTTGAGTCAAGTTCCCTCTTTTGCAAAAGGTTATGGTAGACACATTGACTGGATCCTTTGGATGAACAGTTTCCTATTGGGATAGATTCTGATCGATTCATTAGAGCTCTTGAACTTCCTGCGGTCAAGTACCATATCAAAGAACTGCAAGAAAGATTTGCTGGAAGAAAGGTTTGTTCCAGTATAAATCCCTTTAGATAACCATGACGCAGAATGATCTGCATCATTCAATCAGTGTAGCTCGAAACGTGGGATGCCTTAATTAGTTCACCCCTGAAATTTTCTGTCACCCTCAGTGCAACACTTAAGGTTTGTTCCAGTATAAATCCCTTTAGATAACCATGGTGCAGAATGATCGCATCATTCAATCAGTGTAGCTCGAAACATGGGATGCCTTAATTAGTTCACCCCTGAAATTTTCTGTCACCCTCAGCGCAACACTTTCAATGTATGCTTCCTTGTGAAAACTCCAAAAAAATATGAAAAGGACATATATAAAAAATGCCAAAACAAATATTTTATCCCCATTGTGTCTTAGTTTGGTTATTATCACAAATAGAGCTGCCTTACACCTTAATTGTGCAGATGAAGGTTGTCTTTAATTTTACTTAAATCTTTGTGCAATTAATACTGTAATTCTTTTTCTAATTTCTTTGGTTTAATGACGTGTCCTAGTATAAACTAAAAAAAACAGAAGTTAGATGAACATCTATAAAATAGATGGGAAGACAGAATAAAGGAAGAAAACTGACGAGAAGAAAAAATGGCAACCTAAATTAACTTCTTTATCAATTTTTGATTAAATATTCATTAATTGCAACAGGTCATGCTGGGCGTTGATCGGTTGGATATGATAAAGGGAATTCCCCAAAAAATATTGGCATTTGAGAAGTTCCTTGAAGAGAACCCAGACTGGCGTGACAAGGTAGTTTTGCTACAAATTGCAGTCCCAACCAGGACAGATGTCCCCGAGTGTATGTTCCTTGGCATCATACTTATGTCTGTTGTTTAATTAAAGCACATAATTTATGTCTACTATTTGATCATGTATCCCTGACCAGGACAAGAAACATATGGATTTTACAGATCAATTTGAGCTGTTGGTTTAAGAACCTGATTTTAGTGACTTGTAGATTTTTGTGAAGGAAAATACTGCTAGTTGTCAAGAACATCTGGAAAGAGAGAGAAAGGAGACAATGTTGATGTTTTTGGATTGTGATATGCAAGCACATAATCCTGAGATTGAGACCAGTTTAGTGCATTTGAACTTTACCAACTGCAACAAAAGATCCTTAAAAACTTCTTAAGGCAAAAGCTCTTCCTCTTTAGAATCCTGATGGTTCTGTTGGGAAAACGCGGACGAGCACAAAAATATATATGGTAAAAGTAATGGAAATAAAATGGGAAAATAACGACACCAAGAATTTTACGTGAAAACCCTTCTGAATAAGGGAAAAAACCACGGGCCAAGAGGAGCAATTGATATTACTATAGTAAGGAATTTTACACTGTGTAGTCACGAATACAATACTCAAAGTGACTACTACACACTCAAAAAGAACAACACTCTTTTGGTTTCCGTCTTACTAAAATATCGCTCACACTCTATTTTTCTTCACAGACTATTTTCTGGTATAGTCTATGGAATACCTCACATTGCTCTCAAAATGGTTTTTCTCTCTAACTTGGTGTGTTCTACAAATGAGCAAGAATGCTCTATTTATAGAAGGATAAAACCATGTCTATGTCACTAATCACATATGTAAACATAGCAAAGTCGAGAATGGTTGCAAATCTTACCAATTTACCAACTACCAAATCTTTTATTTTCAACTTCAATTACTATTCCTTTTTAACAATTGCTTGTACCAATTGAATAGCTAAAGTTGACTAAAAAATGGGATGGATTCAACAGGTTCTGCTAGAAGCGTTGTATCTTTCTAATCTTCTCTAAGATTATGCCCCCTTAGTCTCTCTCTCTTATCCTCTCCACTCTCCCATTTCTCCTCGATCCAGATTGCAACCTTCTGCCGCTTCTAACAACATCTTCTTAGCCTTTTCACCTTCTGCTTTCATTTCATGTGAAGAGATCTTCTGATCTGACATCTTTTGTCTAGTGGAAAAAAATACGCATTATAGTAAATTAGCGTTTAGTTTAACAATGATGAAGTACAAAATTTGATGTTCACGTCTGTGAAGACTGTCATGACAGATTTGAGTTTACTGAATGAAGGAGAAGATCTGTTTTCACAGGAGTAATGTTGATGGCAAGATACATCATGAGTTTGAATCGTGGTGGTAAGCCAAGTATAGTACTTAGGAGAAGACAGATAGGTGTTAACCTATTATTTGCTGAGGTTTCGAAGTTGGAAATGGTGGATTTCTACAATTACAACTATGTCTCAGTCACAAACCAGTTGGGATCCACTATATGAATCCTCAATGATCATGTTACCCCATTTAAACTCATCTCATGCTGAGTATGTCCTAATGCTGTCTGTATTTCGAGGATTCATCATGAAGCTGGCTTGTTTTATGCTGGCTAGCCTACCCCAATCCTCCTCTTTTATCTGAGATTAGGACCGGCACTGTGAGTAAGCTCACACGGACCGAGTTAAATAGTGAATTCTGAATATTTATAAAAAAATCTAAGTAGAAAAATTAACGTCTCTAAGCACAATTGTTAATAAAATTTTCAAGATTTATTTTTTTTGTATTGAATCATTTATTGTTAGTGAGAGTTTCTGAAGTTATAATTGAAGTATCGTGAAATTATCATTGAAAAAGATTATTCCAATCTTCTGATATTTAAGCTTAACTTTGTAAAGCTACACACAAAATCAGTGTATCGGTATTAAGAGATATTATTGCCCTTGAAGCCTTGTCATTGGTTAAATTTTTGACATCCATGATGTGATTACTCTCTCTGATTGTTAGTGGTTTCCTCTTTTAACTTGTTGGACAGATCAAAAACTGACGTGTCAAGTACATGAAATTGTGGGACGCATCAATGGAAGATTTGGAACTCTAACAGCTGTCCCAATCCATCATTTGGTCTGTCTCTTGTTACTTAATAATATGAATAAATTGTTAATATTAATGGATATGTATAACTTGGTGCAGCTTGTTTTAGTTTGTTAATTTCATATGATTCTTCTGCATTTGAGAATTACTCCTTTTTAGCTGTAAAGGTTGGCTAAGACCCCTACCTTGGAAATTAATATCCAAAAAGTGAATACATTCAGGAGGGGGACATAAAACCTAATCTCCTCAAAAACTTGGTTGATATGGACATGACCATATTTTTAATCCTAGGGAAATTCATAATGTTACAGGAGCAATCAAGATGTTTGAGAGGATTCCTCTCCATGTAGCTTGATACCATTTGACCTTGTCTCTGTTAGAGCCAATATTAGTGAGGGTATCTGCTTCCTGTTTTGAATCCTCTGTTGTTTATATTTTTATAATTATAAGAAATGGTTTAGTCTCTCTTTCCCATTTTAACACTAAATCATAATGATCGAATGCTAAAGGCTAAAAAAAATATATAAAAGATCTAATAATAAAGGTCTTGGAGAAACTATTTTGAATCCTCTGATGCGAGTTAGAAGAATTTTATCAGAACATTGAGTACTTTCCACAAGTTTTAATAATTTTACAATGTGATCCTGAAACAATACAATTGAGAAACTAGTCACTTGCCAAAAATGTCGAGTATTTACTTAATAAGGTTAAAGTGGGAGATTGATTTCCTTGAAGCAAATCTCTTTCCTTTCATCCCTTGCCACTTACTCTCAGCACCAGGTTACTCACAGTGAATTTGGACTGCCATACCCTTCCTATTGGCATCAATACTCACCTAATTAGCATGAATATTTACGTCTGTCTTGGGTGATATGTACAATCGTGCAGCACCTATGGGTGCTAATGAAGTGGGTGGAAATCACGGTGACTAGACAAAAGACGCTAGGTGATTTCTTCGCAATTATTTAAGCCTCGATGAGTAGAGTTAACAAGTGCTTGTGTTAGTGGAAGTAGCTGATAGCCAGTGGTTAGTTACATGGATGCCACTGTTATAAAAATGTAGAGTTGGACATGAGAGATGGGAATTTTGAATGTTAAGGTGGAAACACCATGACAATTTTACTTCTGCTGGAAATTGTAATAACCGAAATATAGCTACACATAATGAAGATCTTCATCATTTATAACTCATAAATCATATAACTTAGAAGAAATGATTTACATGATATTTTGAGTTGGTTTGTGTAAAATATGACATGGGCCTAACTCAATCAAAAGATTGCCCAAGTCCATAGTAGCAGATCACTGGTCCTTCTCAACCAATGTGGGACTCTGACACCCCTTTCTCGAGCTTGGACTGGGAGCCCAAACAGGGACGGGCCTGACTCTAATACTGTGTAAAGATATGGAACTTGAGTCTAACTCAACCCCAAAAGTTAGCTCATGAGGAGAGGATTGTCTAAGTCCATATAAGTAGACCATTCGTCGATTCTCCAACCAATATGGGACTCTCTAACCCACTCTAACAGTTAGAAAGACCCCATTCTTTACCAAAAGTAATACTCTTTTATGTTTAATCTGAGGTTTCGGGTTCGAGTAATGAGAATAAAGTGACTTAGTCCACTGGTATGAAATCCTGATTTTTTGGATCCTAAACAGGTACCTGACATTCTGATGGAAATAAAAACATTTCTTGCAGCAGATGCAAAAGGATACTGTTTAACTCGTGATAAGTCATTCAAGTAGTTTAGGATAAATAATTTATTAAGATTTATTGTCATATAGGAGTAGCTGCGAGTACACTCATTTGTCTTCTTCTAAATTGTAGGAGTACTTAATTTGCATATAAAGTAAAGGACAAAACTAGGAATTTCCTTATCTTGAAGACTTAACTCTTGGTTAACTCTTTTGCGTGCAATCTTGATTGGACTAAACTAAATTATTGCACCCAATGTTTGGTATGTTAAGGTTAAGAAGCTTGTTTTGCAAAGCTTGTAATGCTACAGCTTTCTGCTTGATAAATACACTCACAAGCTCTATCCGATAATGCTACATTTTTCAAATCCTCTAAGTATAGTCTCCGTGCTTCACATACTAGCTACATTGAGGCAGTGTTGGAGACAAGATTTTTATCATGTGGGTTCAAAACATAAAGCTAATACAAAACATATTGCAGGATGATAAATAAGGCGGGGTGGCGAATGATAAGACTAACCTTTACCCGCCCAATTTTAATTCGCCTTGTCATGTCCCTTTTAAAATTTCTTCTTACTAAAGTCCTGCTTTATCAACCCTGTTTAAAATTTCTTGTGTTTTTTAAACAAGAGTACATTTGAGAATTAAAGAATATTTTGATTTCTTAAAGATTACTTATTTTGAAACACATTTAAAATGCTAGAAAATCACTTAAAAAGGAAAGGAGGGAGTAAAGATTGCATCTTCAGAAAATGAAATTTTCTTATCATAGGCATGAAAGCACATAATTTTCATTAGAAATCTTAGATCTTTCCATAAATATCTATAGCAATATCTATGGCCTTCACCCAAAGTTCGTCAAATTTGTGCGGAACGCCCAAAATAAGGAAGATAAAGTTCACAATTTTGTCCTCTCTTTCGGAACCTAGTTTAAAACTAACTGCAGGTTATAAAGTGATATACTTGAAATTCATATCTACGTTTGGGATGTCCAAAGTATTTTGCTGAATCGAAAGGTGATGTCTATTTAAAGTTGGTTAATTACGTAAGTGAGAAGCTAAGAAAAGAGACATTACGGTTTTAGGATAATATTAGTAGTCTGTATGATAACAACAAATTAGAACTCATAGATGAATAAATACATGTTCCTTGTCAAAAGTTAAATGTGAGTGAGAGGTTCTTTCTAAGACAATTTCCCTTTTGTGACAAATGTCATCTAACTTGTGTAACATATTGACATTGTTGAGCGTGCCTGATTGATAATGGAATTAAGGTGAGGATAGGCAGTAAATATTAAGATTTTGAGTTGAATTATAATTTACAGTAAATAAAAAGAAAAAGTAAATAATTGGTAGGCAATCACTATACTACAGTGACCAAGAAGATGGGAAATATAGTGCAGATCGAGAATTGATCCCGCGACCTTGGGGGAATTTTGAACCCCCTTGACCACTGAGACAAGCATTTGAGTTGTGTCAAGGGGGGTCATTTCGGTATATATACTCAAAGAAAATCAAATTTGATCCTAGATCAGCCGCTGCATTGAGGCATCAGGTTGTTACTGCCTACTTGATTTCTGAAATGGATGCAACAAAGAAGAAAATATTACTCCTAATTTTTACTACTGCATTCAAAGGAAAGCCCCACATTTGACATTGCTTTACTTATCAAAAAGATTAAAGTAGGCTGAATTATTTTGCTGTTGCAGCATTCTGCCTGAAGGGATCCATCAATCATATCTTCTTTGAATGGCGTTCTCATTTGCTTTCTTTCAATTCTCGTTTTGTCTTAATCAAAATGATTGCCCATTATACTGAAGGTTTGGTTCTTCTGTGTTTTCTTTGGTTTCTATAGTACTATAGTTCGAAAATATATAGCTCTTGAACCGGGACTATGTTTGTCTTTCTTAATCTATTCTGTTAGAAGTAGAAAGCTTCTGAATAGATTTTCAGTGCGTCATTTTCCTAAGAAAGCTTTTTTGTGTTGACGGAGTCTGTCAATTACTTTTCTCTAAGTGTATAAATTAATAGCCTAGTGCCTGAGATTGGTGGTCAGGGAATTGGGTCAAACTGACAATACCAACATTAAGTTTTAATTTCACTGTTGTTGCTTGAATACTTTGAGAGATGGATGTTGGGCCTTACTCTACTCCAAATGCTAGCTCATGAGGTGTTTAGATGAAGTGGTGGATAACAAGTAAAAGTGATTTTGAAAATGAAAGGGTAATGGTTGATTTCTATGAGACATTTTGTTTTCTTCTAGAGGATATTTTGTTTATTTTTAAAATATTTTTTGGGGTCAAGTAAACTGAAATTTATTGATGTACACCAAGATGGTGTTAGGCTGCTGAAGCATTGACTACATGTGATGCTATGGCCTCAAGAATCAAGCCAACTATCTATGAAACAAGGATCTTCCTCTTTACACTTAAATAAACTGAATGGTGAATTTTTGAGTTTCAGAACCAGTTCGTGAATCCTTCAAAGGTTCTTTACAAAATAGTGGTGTTTGCTGTTTCTTGTTCTAATTTCTGCCTATTTTGTTACTCTTCTCATTATTCCCATGGTGCTTTACGAGTGATTGTTGTAACCCTGTGAAGATTCTAATCCTTTCAACTCTATACTTACAGGATCGTTCTCTTGATTTTCCTGCACTATGCGCACTTTATGCCGTCACTGGTACTTATTCTTATTCCTTTACAAGTATATTGTCTCTTATCTCCCTATACATTATACTGGAAACAAGTTTAATATGGTTAGAGGGTGAAAAACATATTTGAGCTCTTCTGATAGTGATAGAGTAAGGGCAGACATACGGAAGGGCAAAAAGGAAAACAAATACATCCTCACGGATTTTCCTTCTCAACATTTGAACAAACTATGTCCATGAATGATACTACTTGCACATACACATATGTAGAGGACAAAAGAGAAACTACATGGCTCACCAAGAAAAATTATCTTTATAAACTAGAAAGGACAAGTTGGTATATCTTTTGCGTGTGGCACATAATAATTGCTTTTTTTGTAACATTTTAATTCTATTTTAATTAATACTACCAATTTTATGATGTTTTGATTGTATTTGTAAGTTTTAATTGCTTTTTGTTCCTCAATTTACTTCTCAGTCCTTTTCTCACTTTTTCTTTGTTTTGGAAATTTTTAGATGTTGCTTTAGTTACATCTTTAAGAGATGGGATGAATCTTGTCAGCTACGAATTTGTGGCCTGCCAAGCATCCAAGAAAGGAGTCTTAATTCTAAGTGAGGTACACAATTCTCTCTTCTTCTTTTCAATATGATTTCACTAGTAACGTTTTTCAGAATCCTATATCGGTTAAGCATGTGACCTAATTACACCACTTGAGCTAGCTTTTCGAATTAAGTTAGGTCTTAGGTTTATTTTTTCAACTCACAAATCTAAGCAAAACCCATCCTTGATCTTGGGTTACTTAATGTGCGGTCAGACATGTTGATACACCCAAATTACACCAACTGAAATAGCATAGGTGGTCATCGTCACATATAAAACCCAACGGGGTTGAGTATCGAATCTCACAGGGAATATGATGAGAAATCAAATGTTATTTTCGTGCCTACTTGTGCAGGCACAAAGTTGGAGGGCAAAAATGTGAAATGAAGCCAAGTTAAAGGGCAATATTTATGCCCAGCTTTGAGTGTGCACGGAAGGTACAGGGGTTGGTAAAATCCCACTTTGATGAAGTGCATGATGGTGTAGTCTCTTTATTTGATTTTGCTTGTTTTGGGGTTAAGTTGGTCACTGTGCCCATCTTCCCAACAATGGTCTTAGGAGTAAAGTAGCTCCAACGGAAATCTTAATGTTATGCCTAAGAAGATACAGAGATAGTAGCAAAAGGTTTGTCTCGTGTTGGATTAAGTTGGTCACTATGCCCATCTTCCCAACAATGGTCTTAATAGCCAAGTAGCTCCAATGGAAATCTTATGTTATGCCTAAGAAGATACGGGATAGTACTGCAAATGGCCCATCTAGTGTTGATAATAAGTATACCTCAACATGCTAAAAGGCAAATATGATAGTCTATTTTGTTGCTTTTATATCCACTTCAACTTATTTATGCAAGTTTATATTAAATGCTAGAATTCAGAAGTCCGTTGGAATTTGATTCAGGAAGGGAACTTGCATCATATTCCTTAGATAAACTCTTCTCCTTCTAAGTATTGTTTTCTAATTATCAGATTGTTACTGGACCAGTAGACGTGCTATGCAAATGATTTGAGCGGCACATTCTTTCATAATATTTTCTTAATTACAGTTTGCAGGTGCAGCACAGTCTCTTGGTGCTGGAGCTATTTTGGTGAACCCATGGAACATTACTGAACTTGCGTCTTCAATTGGTTATGCTCTAACAATGTCTGCAAATGAAAGAGAAAAACGACATCAGCATAACTTCTTGCATGTTACCACTCACACATCCCAGGAATGGGCTGAAACTTTTGTAAGGTATGTCCTTAATGAACCGAAGTACGGAAGTAGGTCTTTTTATAATTTAGACTCCTTATCTTTATATTCTTGATAACAAAGGATCCCTGTTTAGGTTCCATATTATGTTTATCACGGTGTTGAAGCAGGTAACCATCTCATCTAAAAGCTTAAGTTGGAGCACACTTTTGTTTACTAAATCAACACGACCTCCAAATGTGTAGGCTTGATCTTTTGTTATGAGCCAAGCACATGAATTTTTTTGATAATAGATGGTGTTCAAACCTAGGATATTTGCCTGCTTTGATACCATGTTGAAGTGTGTCTCCATCTCATCTAAAAACTTAAGCTATTGAGAGAGATCTCTTTTATTTACTAAATTATGTTTTTTCGACACACTTTTTTTTGGAAGTCTAATCAATAAGGATATCAAGAAGCGGTCACAAGACAACAGTTTGCTCAGACGTTCTTTTAACTACTTTTACCCAACTTCAATTTTAGTGCAATCTTACGCTATTATTTTTTTCCATGTAGCGAACTCAATGATACAGTTGTTGAAGCTCAACTGAGGACTAGACATATTCCACCTCAACTTCCCTCCGAAGTGGCTATTGAGCGCTACTTGCAATCTAATAATCGATTGCTTATATTGGTATCCTTTTTGCCTTCACCAAAATTATAAAAATGCATATTTGCACTTAACTACTGTAAAATCGTAATTTCAACCGTAATTAAATTATCGTTTTTTTTTTTTAATTATGGTCTTAGTATTTTGGTGTCAACTCAAAAGGATTAACAACCAGGAAATTTTTGCAGTATGACACTGCTGCTAAATTCTACATTCTATCGAAAGAAAATTCATAAAATCAGAAAATGGTTGAGAACGATGAGTTTTGCCATTAAATATTTCCATATACGGGCAGCAGCTCATGCTGAAGCTATTGTAGCTGCTCGTCTGCCAATTTCTAGGGTTCACTTTGCTTGGATGTAATTTCAATTGCATTTTACACCATTTGTTTGGCTTTCAGTTCATAAATTCCAAAGGAGTAAATGGAACGATTAAACAGATAAATATTTTAACTAGAAACTGATGTCTCCGTATCCTGTCATTTATTCATTACTGTTGCACTCGTTCATCTTATATCTCCTTACTACTATGACATCCCAACCAACCGAGAATGGAGTGTGTGCTATATTTTAACATAAGGTGCTGAGCTGGCTTTTGTCAAAATATGTCTTTTGATAAAATTATACTGTTATTATGTCCATCAAATGTTTGTTATGCTGTTATATATCCATCGAATGTTTGTAATATCAAAAGGATTATGTGGTCTTTGGAAACTATTCCTGAAAGGGTACACAAGATGCTGTTCCATAATATTATGAATTTGAAGAGTTCTTGCACTAGGATGTTATATTTTCTTTCTCTGTTACCATATCTCACCAACCTATGCAATTAACTGAGTACAAGGTAGTTCTGTTGTTTCTGTTTTCTGCAAGTGACACTTTTGCTTTCAAAAATAGCTTTTGGCCTTCGTCACACACGAAAAGTTCTGCCAGCTTTTGCCATGAATTTTTTAGTAAAGAAGTTATTTTTCCTTCAGTGCATCCACTTAATCTCTACTGTTCCTTCGATTTAAAAGTGGAATACATGCACTACTTCAGCGTGATGTGTAATATACCTTATTAATTTATAGATAGTCTATTTGAGCCTGTTGAAAGAGGAGGACTGTATCAGAGATGAGTAATCAAGCAAATGTCCAACTTACTGTATTTTGTTTGCTCTAAGCTATTTATCTCATTTACTGTGTGCTTTGGATATCCTTGCTATAGTTCCAAAAACATTGAATATCTATATGATGCAGACAGGTGATAAGCTACTTACAGTTTTCCTAATAGGAAAAACTTAGTTTTGACTGTCATTTTCTGTAATTTAGGGTTTCAATGCCACATTAACAGAGCCAGTGGATGCCCAGGGAAGAAGGATTGATCAACTAAAAGAAATGGAGCTTAAGTTGCATCCAGATTTAAAAGAACCTCTAAGAACACTTTGTAATGACCCAAAGACAACAATAGTTGTCCTCAGTGGAAGTGACCGAAACGTTCTTGATGAGGTGTCCTACTTTCATAAGTTACTGTCTTTCTATCAGCATTTTTGTTCGTTTACTGACTTCTTTCACAGAATTTTGGAGAATATAGGATGTGGTTGGCTGCTGAACATGGAATGTTTTTGCGACAAACAGGGGGGAATTGGATGACTACGATGCCTGAAAATCTAAGTATGGATTGGGTTGACAGCGTAAAGGTGAAGCACTGAATTTTTAAGCTTGGAAAACTGTCTGAAGTTTGTAAAGTTTTGTGAAATCTAAGTCTATCTTCTTTGTTTCAGCATGTATTTGAGTATTTCACTGAGAGGACACCCCGTTCTCATTTTGAGCTTCGTGAGACCTCACTTGTTTGGAACTATAAATATACAGGTCATTAATTCCATACCCAATTTAGGTCCATCTTCAATTAGCAACTAAACAGCCTTATGTTTATCTGTGGTTTCAGTCTCCTAATTCTGTTAGTGGGTTCTGAGCATGCAGATATTGAGTTTGGAAAACTTCAATCCAAAGATCTTTTGCAACATCTGTGGACAGGCCCAATTTCAAATGCTTCAGTAGAGGTAGTCCAGGGTAGTCGATCTGTTGAGGTTCGAGCAGTTGGTGTTACGAAGGTCTGTTCTGGTGTTCCTAGAAATTAGAATGTCATTTTGCGGTATGTTTATTATTTTCTTAAGCAGCTTGTTTTTGTACAGGGGGCAGCAATTGATCGTATTTTGGGAGAAATAGTGCACAACAATGACGTGAAGACACCAATTGATTATGTTTTATGCATAGGGCACTTTCTGGCAAAGGTGTGTTTTTCATTTTATCTTGGACTAATCCTGAATTTACGGTTAGAAGATCCACATGGATGAAATTTTTGGCCAACTGCATATGCTTTAGCGGCCTGAATACTTGAGCTGTTAAATTGCAATATAGGAAATCCACTTTGACCTAAAATTTTTGTGCATCATATAATTTGGCATGGTTTATATGGTTGGACTATGTGCCAAATTCCATCTTAAGAAGATGTTCTTACATAAATGTGCTTGCTTTTATATGGCTTGGTCAGAGCTTTGCTAATTGAGAACGAGAAAATAATATGAACATGCTCATGTGTTTTCTTCAGTTCTATACAGCTACCTGGACATTGTAGTAGTTATTCAGTTTAATTATTACTTGATCCTATTTTGTTTTACTTATGTTCTATTTTAGCTCATTCAACAAATATACAACCTCTTAAATGTTGGCTTCCACCATAGTAATACTGAGTATTCTTTTTATAATTCTACTTCACTATTACTTTGTATTTGATGCAACATCTTGATATCTTCTCACATCTTTCAATTAGCATTTGACATATATACTGAACTCCCTTGTAGTAACTCTCATTCAAATGTTTCTCTTAAACTGCTTAAAAGTCAGGGCAGGTCGTAGAAAATGGGATGGAGTGAGTACTAGTTTGGTTATTCAAGTTGTTTGGTACAGGAAACTCGCTCCTTCTTACTGAGGCCTGGTTTTGGTCTAAAGGCTTAGTGCTTCCCAATAGTTTCATGAGGTCCTTTGCTGCATTCAAACTTGCAAGAAATTCTGAAGCTCATCTCAAATACTGCTTCAAATAACCGAGGAAATTTTTGCTTGCATATTCACATTACAACATCAGTGTCCGGATGTTTGTAGAAATCTCAGACACTATTATGAAATTAGTCTTCTCTTAAATATCTTCCTTGATGGATCTTTTGAACAATTAAGGAATATAAAAGAAGGGATAGCTAAACTAAAGCTTAAAGCTGAAGTGATGCTCCAAAATGGAAATACTGTTACTGGTTGATGCAACAGAAAGATGAAGATATCTACAATAAAATTAGGCAAAATATTCTTCCCTTAGCTCGTCCTTGATGGTCTTTCCTAGCTCTGGCTTAGCGTTCTTTCAAGGGAAATTCTGCATCAGTGCCACCTGGTACTTCCATTGAAATAAAAAACAATTTTCTTAAGGTTAGGTGATTGGTGATACTTGGTAAAGGTCAAATCATTAGTTTGGTTCTGTATAAGGTTCCAAGCATTGTTTCATTAGTAGCCCAGTTAATACTAGATAAGTTATCCCTCTATCTCAGAGGGAGAGGTGGTCACTTGCTCAAGTCTTGCTGAATTTGAGATTCAAAGAATCGAACACTTGTTGGGATCATTTGGGCGTCATTGTTTGAGGCGTAAACTTCTATGAAGCCCACGGCTTCACCATGAAGCGATAATCCACTGCTTTGCGTTGCCCCATCAATTTAAGTGACGGAGTGATGGTTTTTAATAACACCCATCTTATAGTCCTGAACCTTCCTCTCCCTGGGACTCTAGGCAACTTTGCAGGTTAGCTTTTATTATTTCCATCCGCTTCTCTAGAAGCTTTTTCTAGGGCCTCACCAGAACTCACCGCTAGTAGCTTCATTTTGCTCCATCTTTGAATGTTGCTAATGAAAAAAATGTTATATATCACTCATTCATTTAGGTACACTGGTGGTTCTTGTCTTCTCTCTTATGTAGTTAATTTCTTCATGGACACTTAGCTTGCAATAAACTGTTGTCTCTCAGGATGAAGATATTTATTCATTTTTCGACCCAGACCTTTCTCAAGTACAAGCACCAACTATGAGAACCAAGATAGCTAGCCATCTTAATAGAAGTACTGCAAATCATCCAGCTGGTAAAAGTGGGCACCGGCCAGCTAGTTGCAAAGTTGGCCAGCAGGCTTCAACCATAGACAAGAAAGCTGGCAGTAATGAAAATGCAAATTGGTGGTCCTTGTTTCGTGATAGAATGACAGTCCATGAAGGGTCATCAGTTCTTGACCTCAAAGCTGATAACTACTTCTCTTGCGCAGTTGGTAGAAGCTGCTCTCTTGCCAGATACCTTCTTGGTTCATCAGCTGATGTTGTGTCTCTATTGATAGATATGGCCAATAATTCATCTTGCTGAGCTTGTTCTTTGTACACGTAGAATTCTACTATTTGAGGTACATTCATACTTTACTCATTTCAGTTACTGTTTACCTCGTGACTAAATATCTTGGGCTTATTTAGTATATCATTGTAGTTAAAACAATATATCGATCATATTGATATATGAAAGTACATTCAAGAAACCTGCACACTAGGTTGACTAATTTGAGAATTTGTTTTCTGAATAAAGAAAGATCTCCAATGTGTTGTAATACGATACAGTTCAGCCTTAAACTTGAGTATTTGACATAGAACAAATGTGACCACATCTGAGCTGCTGATACCAACCAAATTAATACTGCGCTACAATGCTTTTTAGAGCTTGCTTGCTGAGTTTAGCTTATGGTTTGTCAATAAAGTATTGAAACGTGGATGGTACTAACTACAACTATGTATCTGCTCTTTTGATCATAGCTCATTTGATATGCTAAAACTCTGTAGGCTTTCAAGCCGTGGCTAGGGTGACTGCTGATGCTGCTTCACATCTACGTGCAAATAGACACAGGGAGGGATATAGTACTAGTGCCTTCATTTAACAACTGATGGACCATGTTTGTACTTGCAAAGAGTAGCATATTAATAAACCGAAATGTTCTTGTAGTAACTTTAGTAGAATAAATGTCCTAGGTTTCGTGGGATTTGCTTGTAAACGCTTTCCTTTTAGTTGTTTAATAAAAACCATATGCCTCTCTTTTTAATTCCCTTATGGTAGTGTTTCCTTCAAGGTAATTGTTCTTTCCAGAATTGGTTTTTGTGCACAGTGCATCTGACTGACTTATTTTCATAAACTCTGGAAGCAGAAAATGCATTACTATATAAGTTGGTAAAGTGATTATACATTATAGTGATGTTTGTTTACCTTGTAAGTGACTTTTTTGAAGGATAATTACTGGACTAGCTAGGTTCCTGTACTTGGTTAATTACGATGTGAAGCCTTCTGTCTTGACTTTGAGATTACAAAAAGCATTGGATCCTAATTTCATGTTAGCATTCTCCCTTATGTTAGTCTTGGTTTATGCACAAAAGTAATGACCTATTGGTAATGAAGTTGGTTGAGAACTATGATACTACACAAGTACAATTTTCAGTGGAGGCGTAAAAATATTAGGTGATTTCTTTTCTAATAATAATATGAGAAGCTACTATATCATTCAGCTTCAAACTGATGTGCTTTAGTAATTATGTCATGATCTTTTCATAATAATAATTAAAAAAAAGATTATTGTTTCTAAATTTGTAAAATCAAAATTCACATTATATCAAAGGTGGATGGAAACGAATGTATGTATAAAATCTCCTAAAAATTGCAACAAATTATAGGCAACAATAAATAATTACAGGAGAGAAATCTGCAACGCAGAAATGGTAATTGAAAACAAACAACAAGAGGGATAGAAAAAAGAACAAAGGAACAGAGAAAGAAATAGTTACTATTCGGGTAGGACCTGCACCCAAAAACAAAAAGGAGAAGAGATCCATATTTTATGGAACAGCAGGATTAGGAAGAAAATTTTGGGAAGAGCAACAATGGGAACTCTAAAAATTTAAATCCTAGATCTGTCTCTACTTCTGGTACATACCTCTGACTTCTCTGAAATCGATGCATATATCACTTTCAAAAATCCAACTCAAATCATTCTATTTTTAGAGGGAAAACTTTAATTGTAAAGTCAAATAGGCAAAACCTTAAAAAAGAAAAAGAAAAGGTGGACTTTCTCCTTCTTAATAAAACGCCAAACTAGTTAAGAACAAAAGTAGTGCAATTGGATGCTATAAAAATATGAAAGACATCTTTTTCCTAGAGTTGCATATCTTCACATTGAGAAAAAAATGTTGTTGTGACATTCTCTACAGAGCGTTGAAATTCAATTGTCAAAAGTATATACAGAAGCGGAGTCAGAATTTGAAATTTATAATTTCTTAATTCTAAATCCTTTCAAGTTATTGAGTTCTAAATTAATAATTTGTACATATGCAATGAATTTTAAAGACAAATATAAGATTTGAAACAAAGTTACTGAATTCAAACGAACTCACATGGACGTTGGACCCTAGCTTCACCCCTGCTTATATATGTAGACTTGTGGAATTGCAGAAGAAGACACAAAGAAGATGTGAGTTTAAAATTAGAGTTGTGCACGCCTGGTCCTTTTTATAGCTACTTCCACTTTTGTAAATTACACATAAAGTGTGGGTAGTGAGCTCCCATTCTAGTTTTTTCTTCATACACCACTTACCCATACCCAATTTTTGTACCTTTGCTTCTTTATAGGGTGGGGAATCTACAAATAATTCCATCTTCTTTTCTTCTACATTTAAAATTCATTTCTATATCAGCTTACGCATGCTTTTGGTTACTCATACGTAATGGGTATTTGAAAATACACACAATTTAATAGGGAACATTATATCACGTATTCAAGTGCTCAACATCGGTTGTGGTGTGTTCTGGTGAGAGTGTGTCACCCTTAACGAGGGATCTCGAGTTTTAGCCTCTGGATATGGATAAAATAATCATGTTGGGAGCACCACCACCGAATGAACCCTGTAATGCGCGATACTGATTTAGTTGGAGCTCCAATATGGACTCCAGACACCGAGGGGGATAGGTTAAATAATGTCTAAATGAAATCTACTCACTAAGTTTGTGGATATGTCGACTTATTAAGCCTTATAAGTGAGGAATTTCAGTTTGAGCTTTGAACTTAATTTTTTTTTCTTGTTTCTCATTTGATGTTTGATATTTATATTTAAACACAATTAGATTAAATTTGAGATCGTAATACATTTTAAAGACCGTTTCTAAAAGGATTTTCTTTATAACTAGAATTTAAACCTGAGTTTCTTGATTTAAAGTGAAGACCCTACCATCCCACCATAACATGTTGATAATCCGAGTTCGGAGCCTAAATGGTACAAAATATTAACAAAAATTTCAAAACGATATATAAAATTTTATATCAACCAAAACCGTAAAATCGCTGCATCAACAACGACTTACCCCACTGGAAAAAGCAAAATCGCTGTCTCTGTAGCGATTTTGCAAAATGTGTTTTTTTTTTTAAAAAAAATGAAATCGCTGCCTAAGCAGCGATTTATAAATTTTTTTTTTTAAAAAAAAAATTTGCAGCGATTTACTTATTTTTTAAAAAAAAATCAATTTTTTTTTATAAATTAGGCAGCGATTTTGCTTTTTGCGATGGGGTAAGTCGCTGTTGATGCAGCGATTTTCCCATTTTGATTAATATAAAATTTTATATACCATTTTAGTATTTTTATTAATATTTTTTACTTAAGACTCCGGACTCTTGATAATCCACCGAGGCTTACTACATGAAAAGTAATACCTGCAATAGTTGAAACTTTACTATAGTCTCTTCTTGTAGGGTAACACATAGCCTTTTCGATGAAGTTCATGATGTTTCTCTTTCCCCCTCTTCATGAGTTACCTAGGAAATAAAATCTAAATGAAAAGGGTTACTTAATTTACTTGAAATTATGTTCAAGATAAATTATATAATGCATCTTAAGAAAATAAAAAATGTAAAAAAAAAAAACAAACTAATTTACACTCCCTTCATATCAATTTACGTGACACTTTTCGCTATTCAAGAATTAATTTGACTAATCTTTAAAACTAAATTGACATAATATTTTAAAATTCAAATTTGCATATTCAAAAATATAGTAAGTTATAATTCTGTCCATGTCATTATAACATAGAAAAATATAATTTAAAATATTTTTTTTATAGTTTTAATCCCAAAAGAATTAAAAGTACTCCATAAAAATTGGGATAAAAAGAATATACAAACGATTAGTGTTTTTGTTCTCCTTTAACATATAGATTAATAGCTATTTAGATATATTCTAAGATATATAATGACAATTTTTCTTCAGTAATTGCTAATACTACCATTTATTAAGAATCAAAAAGTGATTACGACATTTTGGCATAAATGCATATGTATTCAGATGGAATTGACAATTATCTTTTCACTTTCATAATCATGAAAAATAAATCTAAACTCAATTTTCTAAAGTCAAAATTTCCAATACAATTGACAATATAGTAAAGTACTATTTATTATAATCTTCAATTAGAATATAGTGCAATTCATTTTGAGGTATACACCATAGTACGGTTCATCATTTTCGTTTTTTTAAATTTAATTTGCCTCATATATATTAAGTCCTTAAAGATGACAAAAATAAAATAAAATACCCTTAAATAAGATTAAGGGAATTACAAAGTGTTTAATTAATACAACTAAAGCTAAAATATAAAATGGTAATATCTTTCTTTCAAATCATATTCAGTGAATATTTGGGTGCTTATAAGAAATTATAAATGTTTATTTGATGTTAAGATGACGCTAAGTTAGAACATTTTTACTAATAATAAGCTTTCACTTTTGACTTTACGTTACACATTTTTATCTTGGTCTAAGATTTTAGTCTAAATATGTTACACAGTGAAAACGTGAGTTTTTTAATTTAAAATTATATTGATTCTGAATATACCCCGTATATAATACGTCGAGATTTCTTTAGAAAAAATTACGCAGATAAGCAAATATATTAGTTAATTAGCTGATATAGTTTTAGTTTGAATTAATTAAGCTAACCTATTTTTTAGCTCTAATTACGTACGCCTCTCGACCTCAAATCATATACGTATACAAATAGAAAATATACGTAACATATACAATTATATAGCATCTATACAAACTATTTGTCTCCTCTTCTCTCGCTCGTCTCTCTCTTGCTTCTCCCAATCTCGATCGACTCTCTCTTCCCTTTAACATGTAACTATGAATTATAATTAACAAAATATAGTTATAAAACTTAATTAAATTATTGTAAGTGTCTATTTTCGAAATTCCTTAAATAATATAATCAATAATATACCACATACATCTCACAAATTTTCAAAACTAAAATTATGAAATAATTGCAATTTCAACCACATATCGTGCCTTTCCCTATCACTCTTTAACTTTGTTTAAAAAAGGAAAAGAAAGAAAATAAAAGTTACGCTTGGTCATTTAAACAGGGACAGATAAATATAACTTTGTACCAGAAATTTTTTTTTTTACATGAATACAATTCATTTTCATTTGTTTATTTTGATTAAAATACATTAGTTGTAGAATCATAATTCAAACAGTCTCTCTTTTAATTTGGATTTTCTCTTATTATTCATCATATCCGAAATTGTTTAACTCAAACCAAAAAAGAATAAGATTAATTAAAGATTATATTTTAAGTTTAGCAAACATAATATCATATTAACGCTTCATAGCTAGAGTTTTGCTATTTACGCTTTGCTATGAAGCGTCAAATTTGTATAAAAATCACAGGAAACGTTGATTTGTATAAAATCGCAGACATCTAATTTGTACAAGTCACAATAATTTATGTAAATTAAGGGTCTGCGTTTACGAAAATTGCATTTATATATGTCCTTTGTGTTTGTATATCTGCATAAAATTTGAATTTGTGCATGTACAATTAAATAGAGTTAAAACAATTGTATTTGTATATTAAATCTCTCTTGTTTTATACAAACACAAATTATACAATAATGTATAATTTGTATTTGTATAAAGCGAGAATGAGAAAACAACAAAAGATAAGCGAGCGACATCAAGGAGAGTGACGAGCCAAATTTCTGGGGAGAGAGGCGAATGACAAAATATTTAT